ATCCTCGAACATTTTGGAAATAAAAATTTAAATAAGAAGCGAATTTTAACTAATTATTAATTAAAGATTCTTTAACATTACACAAAAAAAAAAAGATAACAATTACAATCTACAACATTACAGTTTATTTAATTTCTCGAGCACTTCTTCATTACGCACAAAAATGGCTTCGGATGTTTCGGTTTTCCGTAGGTAAACTCTGCCGCCGCGGATCCAAACAAACTTATAATTTTTTTCTTTAGATACTTTGCGCGCCGCAGCGTGAAGATGTTTATTTTCGGGCGATAGATTCTCCGTTACGTAGATAGGGGTAACTTTAGTAGATAAAATTCCAATGTGCCCGGTATTGAGCTTGTTTTCATGATTTTTCTTGTTGAATTCGATGGCGGCAGCAAGAAAACAGTCTCGGGTTCGAGGTGAGTTCAGTTTTACCAAAATCGAGCGAGGTCTGGGGCTGTCAGATTTCAATTTTGCTGTTCGAGAACAATAACTAATATCTTTCTCGTTTAGGTTAAAATTAATAGATTTACCCAGTTCTTGCACCATAATTATCAAATTTTCGGCCTTCCGTTCAGGGACGCATTGTATCTCAAGGTTAGATGAGCGGGAAAGCTGATCAAAGGTGTTCAAACGTAGCTTCAAAGAATAAATATCCGATCTCAGGGTTTCGTTTTCTTTATTTATTAGTGCAATTTTGGCGTTTGCGGCGGAAAGTTCTTTTTTCATGCAGTCGAAGCCTTCACTAATGAATTCTAAAGAATTTTTAAATTCGTTTATTTCGCTCATAATTTCAGAGAACTGTGATTTTATTGTGTTTTTGAAATCCGTCATATAATCAGCCATAAAATCCTTCATAACCCCGCGCAACTCATCGCGTATTATTTCACGTATATTATGAATACCCGCATCCGAGGCAGATGACAAATGTATACTCGGGTCACTGTCCGTCCGACTGTGTAACTTGCGGCGAGTGTTAATAAAGGTCATGTCTGCCATCCCTGTTGGCGTAGTAGGCCGAACAGGTTTGCGCGAGTTATCGCTTTTAGGCTGCTTATTAAGACATATCGGACATAGCCAATTGCTTTCATAATCTCTAGGGGCCTTCTCCAATTCGCCTTTTTTAATGTTAATGCATAACAGGTGAAATTTTTTTGAGCAGCGATTGCATTTTATAAAATTGTTATCGTCGATCGCATCAGGGCAAGCGGCGCAATTACTCATCTTATTGCGCGCCCGCGCACACACGATAAACGCCTGCCTGAGTAATTAGAGGGAGCGCGCAATTATTGATGTTGTCTCTTACCGCAGCGGTGAGGTATGCTGTCCCCGCGCTCGCTGCTATCGTCCGTGACCTTCGTAGCTATTACTTTTAAGCAATTTTTTGATGGAACCACTTGCAACCAAAACTCGCCAATAGATTAATTGATTGTCAAAGTTCTTACGGGCAACTTTCGTATACACTATCGACAAAATTTGTATTATTTTCTTAAGTTAACACTGTACACGTCCACTCCCAGCTGACACCGCGCGAAGAATGAATACATTAAATTATAAGTAAATTTTAGCATTACCTAATGTTTCAAAGACTTTTTGGTATATTTCCGAGCTTTTCCAGGGTCAAATTCTTTTATTATCTTGTAGTTACATATCTATTATAAGAATTTAAAAAGAAATTAGCTGCCAAAATGTGCCAAAATATTACCATTTTGTAAATAGAGTGCATGTGACATTTACCAAAACAAACTTTATTTTGCGGTCACTTATGTTAATTTGAGATTTCTTTTATTGTAGGATCTTCTGGTATTAAGATCGTGACAAGAGAATATGTCTTTCGAAAAGCGAGAGAATATTGTGAACCAGATTTTGGAAAAAACTTAGAATTATTCGAGTTTGAAATAATTAATGACACTTCATTTCCCATTGATCAAAAAGCAAAGTTTAGACATACATTTTCTTGTCTCAAGTCTGAAATGAAGTCTAAATGGCAGACAGAAAAGCGAACAGAAAGTGTGTTTTTGAAAAAATACCATGATTGGTTACAAGGTACTCTTGAAATACCGAAAAATACAATTCATAGAGAAAAATACCACGTGGGGCGGCCAAGCAAAGAGTTCAAAGAATTAACGGACTGTAGTAAGCGTCGAAAGACATCACATTTAAGAAACATAAATGAAGCAGAATCTTTAATTTATGCAGGTCAAATGGCGCTTCGTGAGAAAGGAAACGTGGATGGTGCTTATGTGATAAAAGATATTATGGCATCCCCAACACGTGGTCATAAATACCGTGAAGCGTTCAAAAAAAGCACTACACCTGAATTAAAAATGAAGCAACTATCACCAACAGAGGCTTTGTCTATGTTTGTGGAAGCTTCATTGACAAGAAAGCAGTACGAAATAATTAGAACAAATGCTAAAAAACTATACCCGTGCTACTCGATTTTACAGAAAGCAAAAAAAGATTGCTATCCAAATGCCGAGTCTTATTTAGTCACTGAAACCTGTGCAGAAATTAAATTACAAGCATTGTTAAATCACACTGTTCAGCGTTTTGTATTATACCTTGAAGAAGTGTTAAAAACTTTAACGGAAGAAGAGTTAGTGAACATAGAGCTGACATATAAATGGGGGTGTGATGGCTCGCAGCAGGCCCAATATAACCAAAAATTTGCTAATAACAGTGACTCTGACGCAAATATTTTCCAGTCATCGCTTGTGCCATTACAGTTGATAAGTAAGAGCAGTAAAAAAATAATTTGGAACAATCCATCACCTTCTTCTCCGCGTTACTGTCGACCAATGCGGATCAGATTTATACACGAGACTAAAGACGTAACAAACGATGAGATAAATTACCACAAAGAACAAATTAAACAGTTAACGGGGACAAAGATAACTTTCGGGTCTTACGAAATAACAGTTACCCATAACTTGCTATTTACCATGGTAGATGGCAAAGTATGCAACTCGGCAACAAACACAACCTCTGCAATGAGATGCTACATTTGCAAAGCCACATCTAAGGATTTTAATAAACTTGAAAAGTTTATCGAAAGCGAAACAACAGAGCTACAAAATTTGGAGTTTGGCTTATCTGTCCTACATGCTCGCATCAGATTTTTCGAGACATTACTACACATTTCTTACAAACTACCTATAAAGAAATGGCAAGTGAGAACACAGGCCGAAAAAGCTATAATTAGAGTGAGAAAGGCAAACATCCAAGAAGCATTCAAAAATGAACTTGGCTTAATAGTTGACGTACCTAAAGCCAATTTCGGAAACACTAATGACGGCAACACCAGTAGAAGATTTTTTAATAATATAGAAATATCAGCCAATATCACTGGTATCGATAAAACTTTAATAGAAAGATTTGCAATCATTTTAGAAGTGATATCAAGTGGATATAAAATAAATATTGAAAAATTTGACACCTATTGTCAAGACACTGCTAAGATGTACGTAGAATTATACTCTTGGTATCCTATGACAACAACAGTGCATAAAATATTAATTCATGGTCCTTCAGTTATAAGACATGCCATACTACCAATAGGGACCCTATCTGAAGAAGCCGCAGAGGCTCGTAATAAACATTTTAGGAAATTCAGGGAACAATATTCCAGAAAATTTAGCAGAACTGAATGCAACATGGATGTGTTAAATAGATTATTATTAACTTCGGACCCATACTTGACCAGTATTAGACCCAAAGTGTCTAAAAAATCAAAACCTTTTAAACCAGAAAGTAGAGAAATGTTAATGCCCTTTGAAGTTGATAAGGATGAAGATGATTTAGATGAAGAAGAGTAATTATTACTTTAGTAAGGGTTTTAATTAATATTTGTAAATTATTTATAAGAAATATAAATGGTGACAAAACATTGTTTACACTCATTTCAAATTCCTACTTGAAAAACTAGCATAAATATTTTTTTTAAATGTTCTTGATTACATGATTATGACAACAAATAAATTTTAGCCAATAAATAATTTTGATCGACTTTTTTGATCAAATACTCCTATGTGTGCCGGCGAGTCCCACACACGCCGTGCGCCTAGTCAGCGTCACGGTATGGTGCGTAACTGCATTTCCCCTCGTCACAAAAAAAAAGGTGATTTAAAACTAAATTTTTGTAGTTAAGTAGTTAGTAATAGTTTTACACCATTTTGTTGTTTACTATGATATTTAATTTTATAGAAACACCTCATGTAATTATTCCTTTATGAGGAGCTTGATGGCGCAAGTGGTTTATGGGCGTGCGTTTTGCTATCGTAATATTCGCAATAGCTGGTCATAGGATAAATGTTAAAAAATATATTATTTCGAGTTCCTCCGTGCTTCGGAAGGTACGTTAAGCCGTAGGTTCCGGCTGCATTTGCAGTCGGCAGCACACTAATCCGCATTTCGCCGGCGTACTGTGTCCGCGGCTACACCTGCAATCGTTACACACCCACCAATCAGAATTGGGCCTGCGTGGTAGGCCATAGTCCGATCTCCCAAACCCATCCATAGGGAAGGCCTGTGTCCAGCAGTGAGGGCATTAATCACGTAATCAAAATCATTTATTCGGTTTAGGCTGTTGTTACCAGGACATATGAATGTCTAGAAGTTACGCCATCGGTTCGTAAATCAACGGCGGGAGACCTTGTACTGAGAAAAACCGGCAAGAAACTTAGCAAGGGCTGTTTTTCCTCCCTGCCTTTTTCTTCCTTATTTACAGAGTCGTCAAGTTTCAGTGTCAACTTTTCATTACATAATGTGAAATTATACAACAATAATGTTCACCTGCATTTTGATTGCTGTGCCATACAGTATAAATACAAATAGAGTTATTTATAATAGGTGTAACTAAAGATTTACATCTTAAATATCAAAGTAGTTAGGGCAGACTCATCTCCGCTGGCAGCACCCGTTCACGAGCATGACGCATCGACTCACACGACACCGCATATTGATGATAGGTTGATTATAATAATACTCCATTGTGTCCCCAGGTCAACACCCCAGTGAGCTTACCAGTGGGTTCGTGGTCCTTGCGAGTGGTCACCCGCCTAAAGAACTCCACGGCGCGAGAGATCTACGACTTTGACCAGGACCTGTACATACTCTTCAACCCATGGAACCCTGGTAAGTGAGAGCTGATGTGCCTACCAAGGCAGTATATTTTTATTGACTTAATGTATTTCTTACATTTGTAACCAATTTTATTGTGTTGTCGTAAGTACTTAATTCATCGGCACCATCAAACCTATAACATAGTTACAATATATCTGTTACCAGCAATCTGTATAATTCAGCATTCTATACAATACCGTTTTTTACAGCTCTGTATGTTCTTTCCGGTTGACTGGTAGAGAATGCCATATTGGCATTAAGTCCGCCATTTGCAGTGTAAAGGCAATAAAGATTAAATAAATAAATAAATAAAATACCTAGGCAATGTATAGAATGCCAAAAACGTCAAGGCAATGTATGAAATATTATTCATTTTATGCTTAGCCTAGGTATTTTATACAATGCCGAATAAGCAGTCGGCAAGGTGTCTAAAAGAAGATAGCGCGTCGACGTTTCGTTGTTTTATTTATCTACTAGCTGTGCCCCGCGGTGTTATCCGCGGTTTATTAGGCATATTTACCCGCAGTAAAACGTAGCCTATGTGTTAATCCTGATAGTCAGCTTACTCCATACCAAATTTTATTAAAATCGCTCCAGCCGTTTAGACGTGAAAACACAACAAGCATATTATACACTCACAAATTTTCGCCTTTACAATGTTAGTGTAATTATATCTATAAGGTGGCTGACGATTCGCCGGCACGCTCGTTTTGCTCGCTCGGCTTGCGCTAATTGTAAGACAAAATCTAAATTAATCTAACCCACTGTGAGTTGGTCAAACGTTCATGGGTCTATAATTCAGTCGGTAAGAATTATAAAATCCATCCGTCATTTTATGTGCAACTGGGTAGGCTAGGTTAGGATAAATACAGGCTAAATCTGTTTATTTTACACACTGCCGGTGGGCCAGCAGGTACTCTATACAATCCCTAGGAATTGTATACATTACCTAGGCAAAGTATAAAATGGAAAATAATATTTATATTCCATACATTGCCTAGACGCCCCAGGCATTGCATTGAGTGTCTAGGTATTGTATAGAATACCTGCATTATACAGATTGCTGGTGACATCTCTACAAATGTGATATGAAATAAGTACATATGTAGTATACAAATGATAATAATAAAAAAACAGGTAAACATTAATTTAAGCAAAAAGACCGTTCATAAAGATGATAACGTGCTTCGGTTGGGGTTCAAAAGGTCTTAGATAAGGTTTAAATCTTGTTTGAATAAAACATCGTAATATTTCTTAATAGGTATGTAACATTCGCAGATAATAAATAATTATTTATTATCTGCGAATGTTACAAATGTTAAAAATTCTCACAATTATAATTGACGAATAAGAAATTTTAACATTTGCCGATTGATTTTATTTTGATATTTTCATATTTTCTATTTGTTTATTCATTAAACCTTATGAATGAATACTTACACCTCAATCAAAAAAGCTCGAAAGCAAGATTTCTTACTTCTATGCTAGATAAGACCTGTAATAAGAAAAGCTGCACTGTATGCCTCCGAGTCCGCAAGGTATGGCTGATACTCTCTGGCAGGCAACGAACGGATTATACTCTCTGTTATAGCAAACGCTAGCTTTTTTTTTGAGTGTGTATGCTTTTAGTCGCAGATGACCTTTATAGCGTCACCGGGTTTGGGGACGGCGAGATCCTAAGCCGTACTTCAAGCCAAAAATTGGCGAGGGCCTCTAGAGGTATTCCAGGCGGATGGCATCTCCCCGGGAGGGAGTCTCCTCTCCGTCTGGAGCCTCTAGACCACCCGAACCTGAGGGGAAGCGCTAGCTGCTATAGATAGACCGCTTAACCGAGTCCTCGCCTGCGGGGTAAATGGTGTGGGGACGACGAAAACGGGGACCGTGAGAGGTGCGGGCGGCAGGCACATTCTTGTCATAATTACAAGTAGGAGTACTCAGTTAAGCGGTCTACCTATAGCTTCTCTTCTTTGCCGATTCACTCTTGACAGAGCGGTCGTGGTCATCAGGTAGCGGTCAGGTTCCGGGCAGCCATAATCCTCTTCACGATGCGACGCCATCCTTCCCTGTCGGTTGTGCTACGTGTGCACTCGTGCAAGGGGCCGCCTACTGCCGATTTGATCTGGCCGGTCCAGCGCATGGGCGACCTGCCACGTGCCCTCGTGCCTTCGATCTTCCCCTGTACTACAAGACGCTCTATGGACGTGTTGTCCCGTCGTGAAACGTGCCCAAAGAACTGTAGTATTCGAGTCTGGACTACGTTTGTTAGACGCTGTTTGACACTGAGTTCTTGGAGAATAGATGCATTGGTGCGAAACTCTGTCCACTTCACTCCAAGCATCTTCCTCCAGCACCACATCTCTAGTGCATCTATTTTCTTTTTCTCAATTTCTCTCAGCGTCCACGTCTCGGCAGCGTACAGAAAAATGGGGAATATCTGTACCCGGACAAGTCTCGTTTTTGTGGCTTTGGTAAGATTGCGATTCTTCCAGACTTTTTTCAGCTTATCCATAGCAGACCTAGTAATAGCCATTCGTCGCTTAATTTCGTCCACGCAGCCCGCCTGGTTTGAGATCAGCGCTCCTAGGTAGACGTATGACTGTACGACATCACAATTCGCAATTTGGGTGACTTCGGGCGAGTTTTCGTTGGCACGGTCGATGATCATCATCTTCGTCTTACATCTGTTTATTCTCAAACCAAAAGTCATGCTGACATGTTCCAGCTTGGAAAGCAACTGCTCCATGCGGCCGATACTAGTTGCGAATAGCGTAGTGTCATCCGCATAGCGTAAATTTGAAATCTTTACACCTCCTATTGATACACCGTCCGTCCAATCTTCGAGGGTAATCCGCATTATTAGTTCTGTGTAAATGTTGAACAGGAGTGGCGAGATTATACATCCTTGACGAACGCCTGCACTGGGGTGGAATTCATTCGATAGTACGCCATCTGTTTTGACTGCCGCTGTACCATTCTCATACAGACGCCTCAAAAGGTGCACAAGATGTTTGGGTGTGCCCATATCCAGAAGAGATCTCCACAGCACTGGCCATTTTACCGAGTCAAACGCTTTGGAAAAGTCAACGAAGCAAATGTAAGTCGGCTTGTTGAACTCTCGGGCTTTCTCAATTATCTGGCGCACTATAAAAATCTGTTCCCGAGTACCCTTCCCCTTTACAAATCCAGCCTGTTCAGGTGCAACTTCTTTGGATAAGTAGGTCTTTAGCTGCTCGTTTAACACATGCAGTAAAATTTTGCTAGCATGCGATAATAGTGCAATCAAGCGGTAGTTATTGCACTTTTTTTGTGGAGCCTTTTTTGTGTAAAGGAATGAAGACAGTATGAGCCCATTCTTTAGGCCAAGTTCCGGTTTGCCAGATTTTATTACAGAGAACATGGAATATCCGTATTCCCTCTACGCCTGCAGCTTTTATGGTCTCGATCGGAATATCGTCTTTACCGAGAGCCTTGCCATTCTTCAGGCGTTTGATGGCAGCCTCAATCTCTTCCTTCAATATATCTGGCTCCCTGTCTTCATTAAACGGCTCTATAGGAGCAAAATCTTGCGAATGGGGGTCTTTGTATAATGACTGGCAGTATTCCTTCCATCTTTCGGCTATATCTTCCAGTTCAGTGACCACTTCGCCGTGACAATTCTCAATAGCCCAAGTTTTAGACGAGAGGGATTTCGTTATCAAGCGTATCTTGTGATGCAAGTCCCTGCACTCATTTTTGTTACTGTGAGCCTCGATTTCTTCGCATTTTTGCGTAAGTTAGCGTTTTGATCTCGCCTGCAAGCTGCTTGTATCAATGCAGAGTGTTGGTTTAAGGTTCTCACATCAGTGCCTGATGCTTTCATCCTACGTCTTTCCTCCACTAGTGATAAAGTGCTGTCGCTCATCCATTGTTGTCGTTTACGAACTTCTGTTGTTGTTTTAGACTCATTGGCTGCACGTACTGTTAGACTTTTTATACGGTCCCAAAGTTCGTCTGGGACTCTTGCGTCTAGATCCACATCCGCCCACTCATTCCAATTTTGTTCTATTGCTTTCAAAAACTTTGAGGTATCCTTTACTTCGATTCTTGCATGTTTGCAGGGTTTTCTGGCTGCTCTTAGTTTGAGATGCATTTTGGATATTAGCAGTTCGTGATCTGATCCACAGTCCGCACCGGGCAGCGTATGGGTATTGCTAATTGAGGTTTACCAGCGTGACCTAATCAGTATGTAGTCTATCTGGTTACGATATTGTCCATCAGGTGACGTCCAAGTGTATAGTATACGAGGATGGTGTTGAAATAGACTGTTTGATACAACCAGGTTGTTATCGGCTGCAAACTGTAGTAGGCGTTCGCCTCTCTCATTACGCTGCCCCAATCCAAACCTACCAACAGAAGGGCTAAGTTGATGTAAATTTGCACCAAATTTAGCGTTGAAGTCGCCTACGATCATAAGAATTTCTCTAGCAGGGACATTAGAGATGGTAGTTTCAAGTTCACGGTAGAAACTTTCAATTTTGTCATCACTAGCTGCACTTGTTGGAGCATAAATCTGCAAGATATTGAGATTAACTGGCGAAGCCTTGAATTTGATACTCATAATTCGGTCGTTGATCGGCCAGTAACCTACTACAGAGTGCCTCAGATGCTTGGGGATGATAAAAGCAACTCCGTTTTCGCTTGTGTTGTCATTGCCCGAGAAAAATATGGAATGTTTTTCAGTCAGGAAATGTCCATTGCCTCTCCAGTGTGTCTCACTAAGGCCACAGATATTCAGTTCACATCTGGTTATTTCCTTTTCTAAGACATCCAGTTTTCCTGGCATAAGCAAACCTCGAACATTCCAAGTTCCTATCTTCTGGATTTGTCGTAGTTTAATGGAGGTTCCAGTAACTAAGTTCCCATGCGGCGCCTGGTTCCCTACAATCGCATGGCCGGTAGCCCATTTCTCACCGTCTGCTCCGGACGCAGTACGGCGCCGGTCGCTAAGCGGATTGCATGGCAGATGCGTTCTCTTTCTTCACTTTTGCTTCCATGATGACTTTCTTGAGAAAAAAATAGTGCAGTGGTTTCCCGTTGCCTTCTGCACCAGACCTTTTTTGGAGTTATTTAGACTCCAAGGCTGCTGAGACCTCATCTGACCAGTTACCTGGTCTGGTTTATGGATATACCGCCATTGCTCGGTCGCCAGAGCCTCGTCTGTTGTCTAGGAGGAAGCACCGCAACGATCAGAGATCGTCGCCGTCAGCTATTCATACGAACCACTGACGCGTGCAGGTGAGGTTGACAATTGGGGTCGGCGAGGATCTTAGAGCCGTTCTCCCCCTTACTTCTCTATAGCAGGCCACATTAAACAACATATTGCTTTTCTATCACTCTTTATACATGGAACAATTATTCCAGACGACCAAACCAAGTGTGTATGCTGTTGGTCGCAGATGACCTTTACAGCGTCACCGGGTTTGGGGACTGCTCTACACCACTCGAACCTGAGGGGAAGCGCTAGCTGCTATAGGTAGACCACTTAACCGAATCCTCGCCTGCGTGGTAAATGATGTGGGGGTGACGAAAACGGGGACCGTGAGAGGTGCTCCGTGGTGCGGGCGGCAGGCACATTCTTGTCATAATTACAAGTTAAGCGGTCTACCTATAGTAGGCCAAATTAAACCACATATTGCCTTTCTATCACTCTTTACACATAGAAAAATTATTCCAGACGACCAAACCTACATGGAGGACTGCACGCTCTTACAAGAGTACGTGTTGAACGACGTCGGCAAGGTGTGGGTGGGGCCCATCAAAACCACGCGCGGGAAGCCCTGGTTCTACGGCCAGTTCGATGGGATTGTGCTGCCGGCTTGCATGTTCATGCTGGAGAGAGCTGGAATACCTTGTCACCAGTAAGTTACACTAAGTCTGCGGGAGTGTTTTATGTTGAAACGACGCACTATGTGGAGATCGAGTCGGTTTCGGGTCATAAATCTATAACTTCCATGTTTTTATAGATATACAGCTGATTTTTTTTTTAGGTAATCTGAGATAAACGTACTTTAAAATAATATACAGTCTATGCATATAAAAATATATTTAATAATTGTAAAAAAATACAAAACATGCAATATTGAAAAATTATCATAAATTTAGGACTAATTTTAAACAATGTGACCTAAATGTTATAATTAATACAAAATAAACACATAAAATTACTCTTATTAATTAAATATAATAAGAAAAAGAAAATAACATAGAATTATATTATTCTACTAGCTCTACAGCTTCATCTATAAGTTCCATAGACTTTTTATTGGAAGGTTTTCTTAAACTAGTTATGTAAGGGTCTGAAGTGTACAAAAGTGTATGTAAAACGTCTTCATTTGTAGCTACTCTAGAGCATTTTCTAGCATGATGAAGTCTGAATCGTTTATAGTCTTTGTTCCTTGATTCCTGCGCATCTTCGGAGAGCTGTCCAAGAGGTAACACTGAATAATGCCGAATTACACTTTCCCCATGAATTAGGACTTTATGGACAGATGATAGCATATAATACCACATATATTTACTAACATATCGTTGTGCTGTATCAAAAGCATACTGTCCAAATTTCGTAGCATTAATTACTTTTCCGCTAGACATAACTTGAAGTAAAACATAAAATCGTTTTATCAATTCCTCATCCACACCGGTAATTTCTGCAGTGCACTGATAATTTTGAAAAAATCGTCTAGCTGTATTACCGTCATTACTGTTACCAGAACCTTGCTTAGGTTTATCTATATTTAAACCAAGTTCTTCTCTGAACCTTCTTTGTACATATGTCTATATGTCTTCTTTTGTTTTTTCAAATCTTTATTTTCTGTCGTTGTAGCAGACCATTTTTCAAAGCCTACATTATAAGATATATGTAAAATTAGTTCCATGAATCTAATCCAGCAATGTAAAGTCGAAAGCCCATATTGATAAGAATTTTCGTCAACAGGTTTATTTTGTACTTTTTCTAAATTGTTCATCTCTGTAGGTCTTACACCACAAATAGTACATACAGCACCTGATGAAGTTTCTGACAAAACTTGAGCCACTTTCCCGTCAACCATTGTCAAAAATATTGTGTGTTTGATTTCAATACTTTCACCATTTTTATTGATTAAGCTTGTTGTGAGAGCGTTTCTTTGAGCTATAATTTCATTAACTACACTTGTAGTTTTCTCTGGTGTCTCTTTTGAAAATTCTATTAAAATGGGCCTACAAAATCTTACTAATGATGGAACAGGGTTTTCCCACAAAGTTTCATTTGTATTAATATCAACAAGTTTCAGAGGTACTAATGAAGATATAAATAAATTTGTGTCCGAAATTAACTCATCCTCTTCAGTTAAGACTTGCTTGTATTCACTTTGTCCGCTTGAGCCATCACAGCCCCATTTCGAATATAGCATTAAATGTTTTTTGCCAGCTTTGTATACACCATTGATTTTCAAAATTCTTGCAATAGTGTGATCCAGCAGATCTTGCAGTTTTATTTTTGCTGTAATATTATTAATTTCTATGCTTGATCTTGGTGGGTAGCACATTCCTTTAGCTTCCTGAATTGATTTATATGACGGAAATAATACACAGTTCTTCGCAATTAAGCAATTTCTCATGTTTTCATACTGTGCCATGTTAAGGTCCAACTCTATAAAAATACTGAGAGCTTCATCTTTAGAGTACGCTGTTAAATGTGCCGGTTCATTTAAAAGATTTTGACGTATTTCACTTTTTTGACAATGAATGCTTCTTCCGTTTCCCCTTGAGATCTCAATCCTTGAAGATATGAATTCAGTATAAAATCAAGGCCACATGTTTCAAGCAACTCCTTGTTTTTTCGTCTTTGTGTTCTATCGGAACTGTCTTCGTAGGTTTTAGAAGGGCGTCCTCGCTTCCCTCCTCGAAAAACAGTATGTAATTATTCAGTATGCAGATGCTCTATTTTATATTAAATAACTGATTTGAAACGTATGCAAAGTATGGGAATAAAAACTATTTATCATTATGGGATTACTCGGTTTCCTATGTGTTTTATTGATAATTTATTTTGTAGGCGAACTAAAAATGGTGAGAAATACTCGATACACTATCAAAACATAAACCGCAATTAATAATATATCACAAGTGTAACCTATATCAACTAATAAAACAAATAGATTCGCCCACGTATTTTTAAGAAATTATTACTATTTCATGTTATGATAGATAGCATTATGTTGTGCAATGAAGTTGCAACTTTTTTTTTCTTCCTGTATAAAAATATTAAATTTCCTATCAAATAACATCATTTACAGACCTTCGGCAAATTTCGGCAACTGTCAAAACTCTAATTGAAAGTTTCAGATACGCAAAAATGATATGTCATGAGATAAATATTTCTAGTAAATATATTTATAAATATATAGCATATTTGTGTATACCAAAAAAAAGTATATATTATAAGCTTTCTAAAATGGTATAATACTTGTATAATTTTCATTGCTAGCTTACTAGAAAATCATCCTGAAAAAAATACAAATTATGATGTTTTCGTGATAATTTTTCAATCATCGTATTTAGATGCTCTTTACTATAAAAAAGTACTAGTTACATACATAATTTATACATAATATAGTAGATCAACTTCTTAGCTATAGTTTGAGGTATAATACAAGTACCTGCGCCGATTTTTACAAAATGTATTTATGGCCAAGCTCTCTTAGGCACCTCCACATAGTGCGACGTTGGCATTTCGTGCATGTGCTCTGGAATTAAGAACTTTATTTAATTCCTATCTCTCCATTGTACCATCGGACGAACGGGCACGGCTAAGCGCCATGCTATGATATCCTGTGGATCTTTACCAACCGCTTCTACCTTTTTATTACTTAGCCCAAGAAATAGAGATCGCGGTTATACTTTATCATAATTTTATTTATTTAATCTTTTTCGTCTTTACATTGCAAATGGCGGACTTAATGCCAATATGGCATTCTCTACCAGTCAACCGGAAGGAAAATACAGAGAAAAAAAACGGCAGAGACTCAAAGAGAGATTAAAATCAAACAATGAGCAAATATACTAACGTATATACACACGACCATACTTAAATAATTATTACTTATATAAATATACGCAATAATTAATATAAGTATGGTCACACACAGGTGTTTGACATATAAATAAATAAATATATATACATATAGGTACTGTGTCGGATTACAGTATTCAGATTAAGCCCTATGTAATTAATAGATTAAGGTAGTGTTCCTGCGCCGAAGTCTTAAATAAAGTCCTGCTTGGAGCGTAATTTAACTACACTCTAGTTTTTTTTACTGATGTCCTTTTTTGCGCCACATTAACGACTCATAACTTTAAAATTATTTGTTTAATAAAAAAATAGAAAATTAAATGACTAACTTTTGTTAGACGTTTTTTTTATTGTTAATTTAATTAATGGCATTTTAAGGTTTTATAAAAGAAAAGCTACAAACATGTTCAAATAGACAACAATAATTGAAAAACGGTAAAGGCTACAATAAAAAGATTTAGACAAAAAGGAAGGGCATTTAGTAATAAACAAAAAAGCACTCTAATTTTTTTTCCGTAGAGTCAATAATTTCAGAGATATAGCGATAAACGCGTTTTCCAATATGGCGACCAGTAGTGGCCACCCTACATTACCCGATTTTTAAACTTAAGCTTCTTACGCCCTACCCTAACATCTGTAAAAAAACTAGAGTGAGGTAAAATTTTTTTATTTGGTGTTGGTGCTTGGACTAACAGAATGTCCAAATGTGCAAGTCGCTGCCAGATTCTCTGTTCCCTGATCTACTAAAGTCGCAAGTGCATAGATTCTTTTAAGGCAAGCGTGTATGTAGCGTCACGTAATCGCTTTCCACCAGGCGGAAAGTAGTCTAACATACGCCTATTCATTTTATAAAAAGATACTAAGGAAAATGCGGATGATGCCCATTCGTTCCATTCGTGGCAAGCTCTGGTTCTGTAGTCGGTTCGACGGCGTCATTTTCTACTCGTAAGGCTGCAAGTAATAAGATTGACAACAAACAACTTTCTTCTTTCGTGCAATTGCTTACAAAAGACAAGGATGGAAGCCTGCGTCATACTAGAAAGACTTCGGTCAAAGACAGACAAGCATAGCTTTTGTCAGTTCTACCTTGCATCTGTGAATAGAGTTTCTGGGTACTTAATTAAGTGTGATGGAGTAATGAGTGCCTTGTGCCTTCAATTAATCCTTTTCTAATTGTCCTCCTTTTATTACAGGCGAGGAGACCCAGTGAAGATGACGCGTGTGATATCGCGCATAGTCAACTCCAACGACGACGCCGGCGTTCTAGTGGGGCGATGGGACGGAGAATATGATGACGGCACGGCACCTTCCGATTGGACTGGCTCTGTAGAGATCCTGGCTCAGTATCTAGAGACGCAGCAAGAAGTGCCGTATGGACAGTGCTGGGTGTTCGCTGGCGTTGTTACTACAGGTAAATACTTCATACTTATTTTATTGACGCTTAATGGAACAGTGGGATGAACTATAAACACGACAGGCACCTTCTGAATGGACTGGCTCCGTAGAGATCCTGGTTAAGTACCTGGAAACGCACCAAGAAGTGCCGTATGAACAGTGTTGGGTGTTCGCTGGCGTTATTACTACAGATAAATACTTAATACTTATATTACCCTGGTCCCTTGATGAGTACTTGCAGTAGGCCGACGTTATATAATACTTATTATATATACTGTTAGGTGATATTAACAGCAGCATAACCGTTGGCTTCTAATTAATGCCATCGTCATGCTGGCCATTTGACATTACGAACTGCAATTCAGTTAAAATGGAGATCCCTTTTCTATTTTACATTAAGTTAAAACTAATAGAGATATGGCTAGTGGATAACAAAGCAATTTTGCTATGGTCTACTAAAAGTAAAAGTTACCCAAATTATACTCCAGCCATTAATAAATCTAAAAAAGACTAATCTTTGAAGAGAAATAGTGCTAATAATGAAACGATAATATATCTTAATACTTTAGATACTCTGCACATCCTGCAAGGGATAGATAGAGAGAGCTTAAGTATCGAAACAAGCGTTCAGAAGGAAATCCATAAACAAAAAATCCTTTTCACAGTTTCCAGAGCCATTAAACACAAGAGCTGTAGTAGGAAGTCACTAAAGATAAATTCTCTTCCACAGTCTGCAGAGCCCTCGGCATTCCATCCCGAGTGGTATCCAACCTGGTCTCCGCCCACGACGCGAACAGCTCGCTCACCGTAGACAAGTACTACACGGAGAATATGGAGGAGCTGGACTTCGACCCCAACAACCCTCAAGGAGCAGACTCTATCTGGAACTACCACGTATGGAACGACGTTTGGATGGCGAGACCCGACTTACCAGCAGGTTTGTTTTCTCTCTATTTCTTCTTCGTGTCATGGACTAATAAATTAAAAATGTATTTAATCTTAATCCTGTTTTCGATCCCAGACTTGACTTGGCGGCCGATATAACTTTGATTCCCATAATCTATATCCATATAGTCCCAGGAGAACTTAAAACTCTGTCAGTTAAGACTATGCTTAATTTCATTATTTTTCAAAATAATTAGATACAAACAGAACAACTTTTTGTTTGTTATCACCCAGATTACCCACTTCTCTACTCGCACACAACTCATTGAGAATTCTAATCAAATCGGATCGGCTTATGTAAGGATGTATTCGTTAGAAAATACGGTATCAGTTACAATATTATAGGTTTATAAATAGGTACCTACTCATAAAACGATCAAGACTACCAAAGCTATGACTTAAGTAAATTAGTACCTAATACGGTACCCCTAGCACGAACCAATATCGAATTCGTATCGTTTGCAAGTTTGGACGAACATGGGTTGATGACGATGATGATGATGATCGTTTGCAAGTCCGAAATGTCATTGTCAAATGTGTACTGATTTTTAGTTCTCGTTACGTACTTTGTGCCGCTGCTGTTCAAGTTTCCATACAAAATTTGACATTGACATTTCGGTTTGCAAACTATTCGAATTCTATAATGGTTCGTGCTAGGGGTACGGTTTAGATAAGCGAGATAAATTGATGGCACGAAAATATGACACCTTACCATGCATTTTATAAAAATAAGACTGCAGCTCAATAAGAATATTAACTTAACGGAATATATCATCTTACTAACGCTTACGTATTCAGGTTACGGTGGATGGCAAGCTATTGACGCGACACCACAAGAGACCTCTGCTGGTATGTACCAGTGCGGTCCTGCTTCCCTAGAAGCCATTAAGCAGGGCGTCATCGGGGTCGGTTACGACGTCGAGTTCATGCTGGCTTCAGTCAACGCGGACCTGATGAGGTGGAGGAGGGATCCTGATGCGGAGATTGGATATTCCATGGTGGACACTAATAATTTCCAGTGAGTTTACTTTGATTATTATCGTAATAAATACAGGATTTTAAGATTTTGTTTGGTCAAGACCTCTGGGTTTACGGTAATAATCTAGTAAAAGCGAATGGTGGTTATAAAGTAGGGCGTCATCGGGGTCGGTTACGACGTCGAGTTCATTCTGACTTCAGTCACCGCCGACCAGATGAGGTGGCAGAAGGACCCTGACGCGGAGAACAGATATTCTATGGTTGACACAAACAATTTCCAGTAAGTTTACCTCGATTATTTTCTTAGAAATTACAAGATTTAGAGGTTCTGCGTGGTCATCATCGGCCATTAAGCAGGACGTCATCGGGGTCGGCTATGACGTCTAGTTCATGCTGACCTTTATCAACGCTGATCTGATGACGTGGCGAAAGTACCTACCCTGACGCAGGGAACGGTTATTCCATAGTTGACACAAACAATTTCCTGTGAGTCTTCTTCGATTATTATTTTAGTAAAAATAGAACTTTGAGGTTCTGCATGGTCATGATCTCTGGGTTTACGGTGCAAGTTCAAGAAGACTTTCAATGACGGTTTTGTGTGTGAAAAAAATATAAAAAAGAGCGGCATCTTGATGGAAATGATTTTAACATTTTAACTTATACCTTGATAGAATTCTAGCATTCGTATTTAATGAAAAGAATAGGACCTTTGTTCACCAGAAAACTGGTAATATAATAAATAGGTAGTAAATATAGGTAGTTATTATTATTATCAGGAAAATGTTAATGTTTTAAAAAATGAATAATCTTCCATGCTTCACTAATTAATAGAGAAAAGGCGATTAGAAAAGCTAATCAATGGACAGGGCATTCAGAAACTACTGTATCGGTGAAGTGTTAGAAGCCAGACAACACCTTACACTAAACCAATGCCAAATATGGCGTCGTTGAAGAAGAAAAAAAAATAATCCCGCAAGGGATATGTATTTAGCGTAAGATAAGTGTGTATAAGTCTTGAATTTCTTTTATTTCTAGTATTGGCCGTATGGTCCTAACGAAGAAACCTTACGTGTTCGACCCCATTGGAGACGAAGACCGTGAGGACATTACTGCCCAGTACAAACACAGGGAAGGCACTGCCTCAGAAAGGTTGGCGCTTATGAACGGAGTTCGGTTCTCAGAAAGAGCAAAAAGGTCAGTATAACACAATCTTTCATTAAGATTTACTTTGAAATTCTCAAAAATAGCAGCATGATTCAATAAGACATTATCTTACCCAGTAGGTATGTTTCTTATGAAGAAGTAATTGAGGCTTCAATTAAAATAAACCTTTGCGTACCTGGATAGGGTTACATCATCGGTCGTACTTTTATACTGTTTTCATATTTACCAACTGGTAAATAAAGAATTTGTAAAATAAGTACAAATTCTCCTACGTATATAATCCCGGACCCATATATACAATACTATAATTAATACCCACTGGATGCGGAAAGCAAACCAGAATTGTTGTGTTTGGAGCTCCCTAGTGGAGGCCTATGTTAGCAATGGACTATGATAATTAATACCAGGCATTTGGCTTTGAACTTGTGATCCACTCAAACAAAATCGAGGTCATCAAGACTAGTGACTACACTTTGTTAGTTTTAATATTTCTATTATGTTTTTTCCTAACTAGGTATTACGCAGTAGCAAACAACTTAAAAACTGACATCAAATTCAACCTACGGGATATCGACAACGTTCTCATCGGGAAAGAATTCAGGATCGTCGTGGACATAGAGAACCAATGCGAAGAGGTACATAATAAATCTTCCTATAAACTAATTATTATTTAAGTCGATGTAAAATTATTATATGAAAATCCTTCTTAATTGATTTTTTAATATAGTCGCGAGAGATACAACTCATTACCTACAGACTGATAAGATTACTACTTAAATAGAGAAAGTAACCACGAGCGTTATAGTAATAAGTCAAAAAGAAGCTAAAAAAGAACAAGGAACAATTTTGGGATGTAATTAATGTAAGTGCGTGTCTTCACAAAAAGTCACCTCTTGCAAAAGGCAAAATAGATGGCGACAAATATTCAATAGCATCCATAGGTAAAACCTATTGATTCCAGACATTTCTAGTCAAAGTTCTCCGAGAGAGTGTACTCAGCCCAGAATTATCTTATATCCCCCCAGTATAGGATGTCAGGTTACCAAATCCAAATTCTAACTTGCATCGGACACTGATCTCACAATTCAAGCTACCTTGAAACGTAGTAGATACGCCAACAATTTACAACCACTTACTGATCTTAAATATTTTGTTCGACAGCCACGTAACGTGAAGGCGTCTCTATCAGCCACCAGCGTGTTCTACAACGGCGTGAAAGCTGACGTAGTGAAGAAGGTTGAAGGAAAGATTTTCGTGGGACCATCTAAAAGTACATAAAGTTCTCTTATTCTTAATGTAAACAATATAAAAGTAATCGTAGGGTGATAGATAAGCTGTCGATCCTGAGACGCCCCCATATGGGCGTAGGAGGGTACCGGGGGGTTTTAGTGGAGTAGGATCAGTGTGGCCTTCCGCACTGGTCCTGCTTGAGTAGGGTCGGCACTGTTTCCCGTGCCGGCGAGTCCCACACACGCCGTGCGCCTAGTCAGCGTCACGGTATGGTGCGTAACTGCATTTCCCCTCGTCACAAAAAAAAAGGGTGATAGATAAGCTACTTGCTTTCATTGTCGCATACAAAGATAGCAAAATTCTATGCACAGATTTCTAGAGATTTAATGCAAAAATGGATAATATTGTAGACTTATTCTATTCGAAATAAGTAGATCAGTAGGTACTTTAACTGATTCGAGACATCTCTGATGTTCTCTTTAAGCTAGCAAGAGACATAAATAAGATTTGGCGTGAAGCATATAAAAACAGTCAAAGAATTTGGTGATCCTTTATTTTCCTACAAATATTTCTTGATCTAGTATCTCAATAAACATGCTTTGTTTATACAGGGCAGTGCAGCAGCTATAAAAGAAACATTTAACCTTAATTTTTCACTTACAGAGGAACAAATTAGTATACTGGTCAAATCTGAGGACTACTTGCCCAAGCTGGTGGAATATTGTAACATGAAGATCTCGGCGATGGCTATAGTAGATGAGACCAAACAGTCGTGGGCTGATGACGACGACTTCCAGATCCTGAAACCTAACATCACCATCAAGGTTATTTTACAATGATTTCCCTAAATTATCTATAGTTAAAGAAAATATAACTAGAAAAAATCCAAGCGGACCAGGCAGTAGACGGGACTCGAACCCGCACCCTTCGCTATCCGGGCGAATACACTGACCAATTATGTTGCGCGTCGAAATTCCTCTTGCCATTCTTAAGCTGCTGTCAGAGCCAGTTATGATGAGGAGCTCGATGGTGTAGGTGGTAAGCGCATTCGGCCAGCGATCGTGAAGTTAAGTAACTTTGGTCATTGGATGGCTAACCAAAATCTTTTTATCTGGATCTAGCACGGAGGAGCCGTGCTACGAAAGGCACGTTAAACCATTGGTCCCGGTTGCATTTCTAGTCGTTAGCATTCAACAATCCTCACTGGGCCCACGTGGTGAGTCACGGCCCAATCTCTCTATTCCGTCCATAGGGAAGGGCTGTGACCCAGCAGTGAGGATAGAAATATTCTGATGATGATGACACCACTGACCTTTTGGAAGTATCACGCACAAAAGTACCCAAAGGTTGGCAATATCAGGATTATCGTTCATGATTTCCTATGGCACTTTGGCAACTTCACTAAGGTACATACTGGCTGCCTTATCTATTAGACATAATGAAGGTCAAGTTTCTAAATATCAACAAGTCCAATCTTACCTTTATATGTCCTCCACAGTTCAACGAAGACCTGATCATCGGTCAGCCGACAACTGCAGTCCTAACGTTCCTCAACCCGTTAGAGCGAGCATTATCCGGCTGCGAATTCCGTTTGACGTCATCCGGTATCGCTGGAAGAACACTCCGCTTCCCAGCGGCAGATGTGGATCCTAAAGGGGTTGTTACAGCTCAACTACCAGTACAACCTAATGTAAGTAGCTAAATCGCTATACCAAACATTACCATTGGAGAGCGTTGTCTGATTTATTGGTTCCGCAGAAGTAGTGTTCTTCCATCGATACCGGTGACGTTAGAAGTTATCCGGTATCGCTGGAAGAACTCCGCTTCCCGGATTGCTGGAAGAATCCCACTTTCCGGATCACTGTAAGAACTCTACTTTCACTTAGTTGTCACATCAGCAGCTTCCTTGCCGCAGATGTGCCGCCTAGAGGGGTTGTTACTGCTAAACTATCAGTACAGTCAAATGTAAGTAGCTAGTTAAAAATGATCGTCTGGAGTGTGCTGTCTAGCTATAACTTCCGCCAGACGTATCTCTGGAAGAACACTGCGCTTCTCAGCCTCTGATACGACTCCAGTCCGTCTGCCGGTACAGCCCAACAAATACCTACAACATCATCGATAAAAACATAAATAGCGTTAGGGTGATCATCTGGAGACCACTGTCTGAATGTTAGCTCTAACGTCATCGGGTCTCGCTTGTGTCGATCTTAGCCGCACAAAGGAATCTCATCAACTTAACTACCGTAGAATCCAATATAAGTACGATATATACTCACACATACAACGTTAGACATGATCTTCTAAAGCGTGTAATCCAGATCCTGGATCCGGCTGATATCGCGTCACTGGCTCATGCGCCAGTACTTAACATGTTGGCCATGCGAAAGCCAATACCAACGTACGTTGGTATATAATATTTGTCAAATATCAAATAATTTATTGCATTCATGTACTTACAGATATGGTTAAATACGTGCCATAAAGTACGTTAATGTCTTGCTTAGTCGTCGCTCGATGTCGCTTGCCTAATTTGCCGAGTAAACGAAAGCGCAACATGTCGCTTGTTGCTCGGCAACATTTGTCTTTCGTCGTCCATGTCCATAATAACTGATAGAGCGCACCAACACATGGGCAACACCACAATGCTAGTCTACATTGGCCACCAATTGCATTGGTCTTCTTACCCAACGTCAAGACGCCAACACGTACCTATAACTTACTTTATGTCGACTGATTAAAGTAGATTTTCCTTATACCAAGACCAGTAGTAGGGTCAATGTTACGCAGTTAGTCTGAGCAGTACTCATGTTCGTGGTAACGTATAATGTCAGTGACATAGCCGTTTGATGTATAATACTTTAGTTCAGCTGAATTCATTTATTTATAAATGCGGTTCTTCATTTTCAAATTAATAATATTTTTTGTTATCCTTTTAGAAAATCGGCAAAATCAACTTCGTTGCTACATTCAAGTCGGTCGAGCTTAAGGACATCAACGGGGCAGCAAGCGTCGAAGTGTTCGAGGGATAATGGACTTTGTTTAAGATATGAATTGAGATTATTATGCTATACAGAGTAAATACAATAAATAAACAAGAAATCACATCTTTGAGGAAAATATTATATCCATATCAAATTACTTTAAAATAAATAAAGTGTTATTTTTATAAAATTAGTATAAGTAAGTACAATAAGAAAGTAGTTTTGTTATACGAAAACTAAGTTTTATATTGTTGAATGTTCTAAGTGCCATAAAATATATTTTCAACAGTACATCAAGTATGTAGGTAACACAAATCTATTGAGTCTTCTACTGCTTGACAACTTGTTATTATTTTAATAAAGTTTACATTTCATTGATAGAATGCATTGTTGACTGTTGTGTTGAAATTAGTGCTAAGTTATTTTAATATGTTTTAAAATACGTTATGATTATTTTTGTATGTTTAATTTTTTAAAACACAGATGTTTATTGAAAATTATGTTTTCTTTACTTGTCTACTGGTTCTTTCCTATTCCTTTATCAATAGGTCATAGTTTATAAAAAAATAAATATTTCTAACACTCACACCAATTAGCCCAGCCCCAAGCACTGTAGGCTGGTTATGGGATACTAGGGTAACGGATAGAATATATACTAATACTGATTCATATATACAGTGGTGGTCACATAATTAAAGACACCCCCTAATTAACCACAAAAAACTTGCAATGGTACTAACATTAGATAAAATTGGTATTTAATCCAGTTGTATTGTTATTAAACCATACACGACGTTGTATTCTTACAACGTGGGACGAAAAAAAATTGTGTTCGTTAGTAGTTTAGACATGGGAACGTAACATAAACTTTTTTAACGTATTTATAGCTGGCCAGATAATTAAAGACACTCGATTTGCTTAGAAGAAATAGGAAAAAAAATTGTTATTATTGAAATTTTCTTTATTACACAATATTCCTAACACATTTATAAAACTTTCCGGTACGTTTCAATATTTGGTCGCATGTCCTTTGGCAGAAATGACAACGACATCTCTTGGGCATGGAAGCGATCAATTTTTTACAAGCTTCCACCGGAATTTGCTTCCAAGCTTCTCTTAAAGCTGTGTATAGTTGATCGATGTTTGAGGTCCGTTTTGTCGCCACTGTCTTCTTCTCCTGGTACTACAAATATTCTATTGGGTTTAAATTAGAACTTTATGGGGGCCAATCCAAAACTGTCACAGACTGGTTCCTTAAAAAGTCTTTTATTACTTTTGCAGTGTGTTTCGGATCATTATCCTGATGGAAAGTCCAAATGACCGGTAAATTTTGCTCGGCATAGGGCAGCATGGCTTGTTCTAAAATATTCTTGCACTGAATTTTATCCATGTTGCCTTCTATTTTCTTGACAGGTCCAACACCAAGTCCTGAGAAACAGCCCAAACTTTGATATATCCGCCCCCATGTTTAACTACTTTCTTGGTATACTTTGGATCTATTTCTTTGTTCGGGAGGCGTCTAACATATTGTTTTCCGTCAGAATTAATCATATTAATTTTTGTTTCATCAGAGAAAACCACATGTGGAAACATGTGCTTTTATCTTCAGTCCAGTGTACATATTTTTTAGCAAATGCTAATCTTGCCTTAACATTTTGCTTTTTCAAAAGTGGCACCTTCCGATACACTCTTCCGTACAAGTTTGCCTCACATAGTCTCCGTCTAATTGTTCTTGCAGACACACCCTTCGACCCTCCTGCACCAAAAAACTCCGAACGTATCTTTTTTTGCCAACAACACCATCTTAGAGTCTTCCCGCAGAGTAGTTTTTCTTGGTACGTTTTCGGTCGTGTTGAACTTCTTGAAATGTTTTATAGCATTCATAACCATGTCCTTAGAACAGTTCAAGTGGTTTGCTATTTTTCTGTATGACCAATCTTTATGAAAGTTGAAAATAATCTTCCTAGTGGACGAATCGCAACTCTTGTTTTTCCCATATTGCTGGGTTTAAAACGTATTAATTTTAATAAAAAAAATAGGTTTTTTATGTAATATCAACGTTTCATGAAAATACGCGACAAAACAAAGAAAAACAAAATGCAATTATTTCTTTATTTCTTATATTCAGAACACAGCTTTTACTGTCTTTAATTAGCTGGCCAGCTAAAAGTACGTTAAAAAGTTTGTGTTATGTTCCCATAGTGAGCAGTGTCTAAACTACTAACGAACACAACAATTTTTGTCCCACATTGTAAGAATACAATGTCACGTATAGTTTGATAAAAATTACACTAGATTAAATACCAATTTTAGCGCATTGTAGTACCAAAGCCACTCTACTTTTCGTGGTGTTGGATAAGCATTTTTCTTCGTTTATCAGGTAGATTATCAAAAAGTATTGGACACGTATTTTTTCTTTTTTTACATAATATAAACATTGCAGAGATATATTGATTTGAAAAGTCGCATGACGTCACGTTTTGGTAAAATTTTCACTTAAAAGTGACGTCACGAGCCCTTACTCCCAAACTTTGATGCGCTATAACTTTTGTCATTTTTTTGGTTGATTGCCCAAAGAAAAAATACGTGTCCATTATTTTTTGATCATCTAACTGACGGACTAAATAGAATTTCTTTCTTTTAGGTGTCTGCCTACCGACATAAGGTAGAATTTTAAACTGTCATTTTATAGAAAAGGACTTGAAAAATAATAAAACGCACGAATATAAACAAAACTTTATTACCAATTCCATGCAGTTCACCATTTTCGCCTACGTCGGACGCTCACAACACTTTAGACACTATTTTGTTCAGCGCACTAGATTTTACTATGGATATTTTATATTATATTTTGAAAATCATTAATTTTATTGTGAATGTTCTTTGCGGCAATCATTATTAGAATATTATTCTTCAAAGTTAAATAACTATTCACTTTGAATTATTCAATCAGGAATTTTATAAACTATAGTCAAGAAAAAGACTAAACAATTTGCATGCAATAATCCAAAAATGATTACGTACCCTATTCTGTGCACTTAAGAATCAGTTTCCAGTGTCACAATTCCAGCAATTTGAGTACTTTAAACAGACTACCATAGTAAAATCGTTTAAAATAAAATGCGTAAGAGTTTTCAGCACTCATATTGCCAAACACCACTATTAGACTTAGGTACTTCAAAGCTTAACCTACCAACTCGCAGTTCATTCATGATTTGTCGACTAAACTAAAACAATAATTATGGAAAAACACAACAAGCATAATATAAGCGGGCCCTACTTAAAATATTCGTATTTATGGGTGAATTCCGAAATGTTCATCAGTATACTGGCCAGTGGTAAATGACGTCACGAATCCGACGCCATATTGTACTGGTGTATGCTACCATATTTTTACCGGGAAAACGAATATGACGTATGACCGAGCGTGCGTGAGATGCATTCAAATTTTATTTGTTTTCATTTAAAGAACAATAATGGCATCCGAACAAAAAGAATTCCTTTTAGTTGATGAGTTGAATAAAAAATCTTCTTTATTCGCACTATTTTTAATATTCCGTCGATTTATGACATCAGTGCACTGGCCGATATATTTCGGAACAATTCACCAGTATAGCGTCGATTCATGACGTCATTAGCACGGTAGCATGGTATATATTACGGAATACACCCTATATCATCACACTATCATATTATAAGGTTTCGTGCCTGTCCTTTGAACATTATAATTAGTACTTCCGGACACTTCAATCGGCCCTCTCAATGTTATATGTTTCAACGATAAATATTATGTTAGGTTGAGAAATATTAATAGGTTTTTAAAACAAACGAAAAAGATGGTTCATTAATCAGATTCAAAACTGCTTAAAAACTTTTTCCTCATTTTTAAGCTATGGACTGTCAAAACATAATGTCTTAGGTGGGCCGATAGATACGAGCGGAAGTTTATTTGAAATAGATACAATAGAGTCGTCATTATAATTAAACTTTATATTTTTTATTTGTAGAATTCTGTTTTCTTTGTATATATTTTTTTTAATAATTTATTCGGTAACTGTTCTGAATCTGTTCTGAATTCAGAGTCTTTAAATTATACTAATTGTTTACCATAATAGTAACAAATTTATGTCTTTCCCAAATATTTCATTTGACAAAATATAGCCATGGCCATTCAACATAAAACATTTCTTGAAATTCATTAAATTTTTGTACTGGGTCAGGCATTCAACCACTAAACATAAACATAATTGGTCATTTCATATATTATGTAACTCCATAATAGGTAATCACTCTGAGGAACTGACGGGACGGCGAAACAATATTGTTCACGTAACTCAACCATACTCACTGTCTCACTCACACGGCTTATTTAAATAACCACAGCGGATACAAAATTAATTTCAGTACCCTTAGCACGTACAATAGGGATGATGACTATTGTTTTTCTTCGTTTATCAGGTAGATTATCAAAAAGTATTGGACACGTATTTTTTCTTTTTTCACATAATATAAACATTGCAGCGATATATTGATTTGAAAAGTCCATTGACGTCACGTTTTGGTACACTTTTAAGTGAAAATTTGCTAAAAAGTGACGTCACGAGCCCCTACTCCCAATTTTTGACGCGCTATAACTTTTGTCATTTTTTGGTTGATTGCCCAAGAAAAAATACGTGTCCATTATTTTTTGATCGTCTAACTGGCATCACCCCTATTATCGAATTCGAATAGCTGAATTGGATCTAGAAAAACGTCAAATGTGTACTGAATTTTAGTTCTCACTACGTTCGTTGTGGCGCTGCTGTTTAAGTATAGATACAAAATTTGACATTGATATTTCGCACTCGCAAACTATTCGAATTCGATATTGGTTAGTACTAAGGGTACAGTACACACCATGCCCGGTTACTACGAGTTCAGTTTTTTGTTTTTAAACAAAACATGTTTAACGACAGATAAGATTCAGAGACTATTCTGACAATGGTACTGATTGCGGCACGATTTTTTAACTTTTAACTCAATTTTGTAGTAGTATTAACTTATAGTGCTGTGTAGATTAAGATAAGGATTGACTGCTGGTAAATTTACTTTCAAGTTTTGGGAATCATATAAGAATCAAGCCCATTTTTCTACCCGAAAAGCATTCAATGTTTTCACGGATTTTAAAGAAATATATTTTGAAAGTATTCAGTACTTTTTCTTTAAATAAATGCCTTTTATGGGGTGTAAACACGAAAAGGTTTGATGTATAAATTACTTGTAAAAATGCTCACTGTACATGAATTTCAATAGGTGAGATAGTAAATAATAACTACAATCCCTTTTCTTGTATTTTTATGAAGAAAGAATAAAATCATTGAATAGTCATTTTTTTTGGTCTTTTCCATAAAATTAATTTAAAATTTATTCGCAACGTGTCTATTTCACAACAGTAACTGATAACGACTCGTTATATATAGACACCGGGCATAAATATGTTCCACAATTCATAGGTAACTTACACTTGCCATATTTATGTATAGTAACAAAATAATGTTATATCTCTTTGCATTGTAATATAAAGAAAAAAATAAACAGTATCAACATACGATTTCCTTTGTTTAAAATAATATTATGTAACAGTTTGTTTAAAATAATAAAATTAAATATTTGACAATGATCTTTTATTAAATTTCGAGATCACACAAAATAATGACAAAATGATTTTGCATTTGTGATCATGATTTTCATAATACTTATTCATAAAGACGAATAAAAAATTAATTTAGGATATAAAATAACGCATAATTTATTGCTTTTTCTCTCAATTCGATACGAACATTGTATACACAATGTTCGTATCAGTTATGATAGTAAGTATATGTCGTATGACAATACAACATTGTGGATTTGCGTCAAATAACGAACTTTTTTGGTAAATCCACCTCTATTACAACAGACATAAGACTGAAACTTAACTATATTGTTCGATGCTTATAAATAGACTATGACTTCCTTAAACCTTATATACGACGGTAACAGACCTTATGAGTGGGTTAAATTGAATGTAATAACAAATATTTGACTCATCTTGTTCATACACATTCCGTAAGTGTAAAAAGGATGGCAATACCCTATTAGAAATTGCTTTTTGCGTTTAGTTATTTTATTCATAATAATATAAAACGAATCCGATACGTTATCTCTTTTAAATTAATTATTTAGAAATTGACTTCATAATACCAAAAGAACACATCATGTCAATAATGAACTTTATGTCTAGTACATAAGGCCTGTTTCCTAACATACGATACTAATGTACCTTGGCCTTTCCAGTGACAATTTTGGCATACTCTTCGTAGAATCTCGGGAAATATTGCATAGCGAAGTAAAGAATGCTGAGGTATGCCACTATGGCCACGGTCAGAATCAAGTCGAACACGGCTGGTTTGACACTGTAAATGTAAAATTAAACACCACCATCAGACTAATTATGTGTCACTGCTGGGACACTGGCCTTTTGCCCCGGATAAAATAGGAAGATAATAATAATAATATGTATTGCCTTTTCATGTAGGTGAACAGAGGTGTTACAAAGCATTCATTGAGATCCTTACACGAACCCGGTTAGGGCATGTCAATGTGCTTTAGAGAGCTTGTTTATTTTTTTTATAAATAAATATAAATTTAAATTACATAAAATAAAATTTAAATCAATAAAATTATGTTCTTATAAGCATTTAACTGCTGGATGTTTAAATGTAAAGAAAAGTTTACTAGAAAAAAAACCACGCAGGCCAGGCAGCATACGGGACTCGAACCCACACCCATCGCTATCCGGGCGAAAGCACTGACCATTATGCTATCGCGGCCCTGATGGCCGTGTCAATAAAATTGACAAAATTCCATGTCATAAAAATTGTATTAAATAAATTAAACATTATATTATTAAATTAATTATATCAATACCACATTAAATTACTAACAAACATCATTTTAATTCCTTTTCATTAAAATACTCTTGCAGTGTATGCCTTTAGAACAAAGGAGCTTTGCAATTTGTTTTGAAACCCAGTCAGAAAACTCTCATTTTTGGCAATCTGTTGTATATTTTGACACAAAATTCAAAAGGGCTACTTTGGACCAATTTGAGTTTCGATATTGGTAGGGCCAATTTGTCAGCGGGACTTAAGTTATAGTCAAGAGATTGGGCCATTTTCATCAAAAGTGATAAACTGTCATAAATCCTATTACCATCTCATACATACCTGTACACATATAAGACTGCCCTAGTCGGTGAATACAGCGTGTACTCTGGTTCTCTCTTGTCTACGCTGTGAACGCTGACCGTAACGTCCATGTAACGTGACAGAGCGCGTTCCAATGCTGCCGTTACACCTAATAATGAGAAATAATAGACCAGTTTTTAATAATAATAATATATTCTTTATTGCACACAACAAAGGACACAAGACATAAACTTATAAAATGAAGAAGAGTATACAGTAGGCGGCCTTATTGCTTAACAGCAATCTCTTCCAGGCAACCTATGGTGGAAAAGGAATAATAATAATAAGTATTTATTTGGTTCAAAAATACAAATACAAAAACTTAAAATCTGATATACCAACTTTTTGGGAACAAAAAGGGAATGTGACTCAGCCTTAGACCGCCATTTTATCGGAAGTCGCTGATATTATGCCACAACCTTATATAACTAATACATGCTTAATTTTGTGATACCAACAAGTAAAACTCTGAAAATCGATTAAAAATTAATACATCCATTATTAAATATCTAAATTAAATACAGTTTTGGCCGCAGTGTACTGTTTAACTAATAACCACAATTTACATTTATTTTTAAAATTATATGCTGACATTGAAATGTTAGTCCACAAAGGTGGTGGGAGATCATTCCATATCTTTAATAGAGGAATATAGAAGGGTGCAAAAGTAGATACAGGAGCTATACTTACATAAATATAAGAGAAGCAAAGAAATAGGATGTAAAATTAATTTAAGATAAAGAAAGGAAATAGCGTTTAAATTTAATAAAGATAAAAACAGGTACTCGAGAAACATATAAAATAAATGCCGCTTATGCCACATTATGAGAGATACTCTAGAGGTTCCGGGTGCGAATCCCGGTATGGGCAAATGTTAGTATGATGAATACGAGCCTTTGTTCCTTAGTTTATATATATTTCTAGATAAAACATATTTATATATGTATTACTTTATGTATAGTATCGGTTACCCTAGCATCCCATAACACAAGCTTTACAGTGCTAATTTTGGGGCAAGGCTAATTGGTATGAGTGCTGTGAATACTTATTCATTTTATTATTATTTATTATGCGTCCATGTAACGAGAGGGCGCGTTGCAATGCTTCCTTTACTCCTGATAATGAGTAATAATATAAACCGCTTACTAGGCAGTTTAAACACATTCTACTCATATTATAAATAAAGTTATTTTATTTGGTTCTTAGGTTTTCACGCACATATGAATTGAGCAGATTAATGCTTAAAATAAATTTAAATAAAAATAGTTTTAACGGGTTAATGCACGAATTTTATTTATTTATTAATCTCTCAATTTATAATTGCTAATGTTATAAACGCGAATGTGTGTCTGCCTGGAACCTCTTCACGCTGAAACCGCTGAATAGATTTAGATGAAATTTGGTAGAGAGTTAGTTTGAGTCCCGGCAGACGACACGGAATAGTTTTTATGCCAGAAATCAACTTTTAAGCGGGTGAAAAGAGGTTAGAAGTTTGTATGGGAAAGGGGGTAGCGGGTTAAGGGGGGTCTGGCGGCCCCCACCGAATCTGGTAAAATCATTCCAAAAATCTTGAAGAGGGTCGAAAAACAAGCAGTATAAGCTTTTTACCGACATTACAACCCTAAACGAAAACACAGTAATGGCAAAAATATGATTTTTTTGTGATTTTTATTTTTTCCAACCAGTTTCATTTATTTTTAAATGGTTTAAATGCAATTAAACATTTGTTTTTGATGTGTGGAAGTCCTCTGAATTTTTTCAGATTTTTTGGTCAAGTAAAAACATGTGAATTTTAGGTTTAAATGCGAAAAAATCGTGAAAAACGCGTCATTTTCAAGATTCAAACCTCTTATTTTTAGGGTTGTTTTCATTTTCCCGAAGGTGCTGTATAGTATAGATAGCGGCAATCACCCTCTTTCGAATGCAGGCAATTGACTCAATTTGGTCAATTATGGTGAGCGGGGCGATTTTTTGAAAAAAACTCTAATTTTCAACTTTCGGTTAATTACGGCGCGTACTTGGTATAATGCGTCTTTGCTATAAAAAATACATCTCTATAGGGGTTTTTGAGGTCGCTGATCACGAATTTGATGTCAAATAAATTTTTTGACAACAAATTCACCCATAAATATTTATTAACACAGGTTGGATAATGTAACTTTTTTTTGTAAAAGAAATCATTATTAGGATGACGCATCCTGTAAAGGATGCAAAACGTCAATAAATAGAAAAATCAGTGCATCTATACCGTTGAAACTTGTTTTATTCAATGTAAAACATATCATATGATTCATTCCATTTCACTAGCCTATATAAATATAATAAATATATTTTTTGTACAACTTTTTAGTGGAAATAAGTTTTTCTACTCAAACAAATTAATTTCAGTTAATATAAGAACAAGCCAAAATGAATTTGGATTTTACTTAAGCCCCCCTTGCGATTAGTAGTCCAATGCCCTTCCGGGGAATCTTTTGTGGAGGGTCTGGCGCCCGAGTTATTATTCAGTTTAATTTAGACCTGTTAGTAAATTATCTTATACTTACCCGAAGTGGGTGGTATGCCAGTGGTGACGACTTGAGGCGCTCTCGACTGCGACGCCAAATACTTGAACCAATGCTTGACGGAAGTCTCTTCGATACCCTGTAGAGTGAAATTTACTGCGTCATTATCTTCATCAGCAGCCTATTAATGACACACTGATGGGGCATACGCCTTCACTATGGATGACATTATAACGGACCATAAGATAACCCACCACAAGTGGTTTTTTTTGGTGCTTACGACTTGAAGCACGGAGATAAGTGAAATACCTAATAAACCAATACTGTAGTTTAATTTAACAACAACACTGTCATTCTAACCGACTCGCTTAACGTGCCTTCCTAAACACGGAGGAGAACCTGAGGTAGTAAATTTTTGGTCACCCATCCAACGACCGACCATTGCGAAATTTGCATATAAAAAGTACACCACTGCATCTACTGTTTTTTCTTAAATTGCATGTTGAGTTGCGTTTGCCGCCATTAATAATGTAGGTAACCTTAATTATATTTTTTCTTGTAGCTCTTTCCATACATCTACTGCTCTTTTCTATAACGCCCCCCGATTTTTAAAAATCGGTCCTAGCAACACTGGTAGCGGGGTAAGTAGTCAAAGCATTAGAAGTATAACTTACCAGTGCTTGGTCGTATAGCGCCCAGTCTTCATCAGAAGCTTCATCTGTAAGGTTGTAAATATGTGAGGCTAGAGCTCTGGCTATAACTCCGATGTTGGACACCAAGTTCTTGAGAGACTCCTCAGAGTATGTGTCCAGAACAGAACTCCTTGATGGGTCTTTGTGACTCTGGAATAACGAGGGCTTTATTTTACATTTGAAACACATTTTTATTTAAGTAAATGTCAAATAAAACAGTTACGAGTCAGAAGGGCCTACCCCCGAATCTGAGGCAAGGTGGAAAAATTTGTGTTATTTCACTATTGTTTTCTGTTGAGTGGAAATGTGAAGAGAAACGCTTTAAGGTGTCAATTAAATTCAACGCTTGACAAAAAGACCTGGCCTTGCAGGCCTTCCCTAGATCTATAAAGTGCCGAGCAAGGAGGTTATAGGTAACGACAAGCTGCTCGACAACATATTTCTAAGTCTAGAACATCGACGCCATAAATCTGTTAGGTATTTAGACGCAAAAAGTTTGGCTGTATGTCTTTTGTAGGCTACATTTTGGCGAATGCGCTCAAGTGCCCCATCTCTATTCCATCATCGGACTACCAGAGGGGAGGGTTATCACCCCTACGCTGTTGGTGTCCCACAAATCTGTACCAAGCTATTTGCTATCAGCTTTCTAAACACGCAAGGCTAGGTCTTGGGTCTAGGCGGGGTATATTTTCCCTGACTGTTATAATTTATTAAATACTTGTTGTGTCTGTTTAAAACATTCTTGCATTGACACTGCATAGACAACTAGAATTTTTACAAGTATAAATCACTTTTTACTTCACATATTTTGTTTATCCAACAAGTTTGACACATTATAGCTATTAACGGGATTGTTACCATGTACCTTGTTTTTATGAGTCTCCGATATTTCGGCACTGTTGCAAGCGCCATGATTACGGAGTGCAGAAATATCGGAGACTCATTAAAAACAAGTTACATTGTAACAATCCCGTTAATAGCTATAATGTTGGTGACCATGAAAGTTTAAAACAAGTTTGATGGAAGTATAGTGTATTTTCCATATTTTTGAAAACTGCTTATATTTAAAGATAAGAAGGGACAAACGAGTTAACAGAAAAATAAAAATAAATTAACTAATGTATCATTTTCTCCATTAGACCAATTTAAGTTGAATTTATTTTTAATGGTTTTGAATTTACCGCCAAAATTCTCGGTTCGATGACGTCTTCTGTGCGACGTCAACTTGTAACTATTACCCTAGTATCTCTTAAAACGAGCCTTACAGTGCTTACTTTGGGGACAGGTAGATTGGTGCAAGTTTGAAAAAAAGCGTCTATTGTAGCTCCTGTTGTCATCTGCAAAAGGGATAATAATATAATAACATGGGATTTAAGCTACTCCATTCCTTACTTGCAAGGTGCTAAGTGTGAATGCCGTAACCCTCCTAATGCTGAACCTCTCGTGGTGCCAGGCTAAAGTCTCGTCAGCCAAGTTGATCTTCTTGTGGTTAACTGGCGCTCGGAGACGCTCCTTGATCGAGTGGGAGGCACCACCGGCTTTAGGAGGTTTGGACACGTGCATTGTAAGCTGATCCGATGAGGATATTGAATCCAGGCACATTGCGAATGATACGTCCTATAAGGGAAAGACGTTTGATTATTGACTTGCACAGAAAGCTAGGTGTGAATAATTTAACATAATATCGCTTCAAATATTTTGTAGGGTTGAGAAAGAAAACCTGCTTTTGATTTTATAATATATATTTTTTACACTAAAATAAAAAGATCTAGTTACTCAAATTACGATATTTAGTATACTTACTTGTATAAGGGCATAGTTTTTTTTAAATCATTTTACATAACATTTCAAAATAAGGTCCGTATCAATAGATCGCTCTCAACTCTGAGTGAGATACTGTTTTTACAAATTAGCATCTTAAGATCGTATTCAAGGGCGCTCACAGAGTTGAGTTGAGAGCGAATAGAGACTTAGGCCCGTATTACAGAATGACAACTAAGTGTTGATCTTTACTTGAGTACAGTTAGAAAGGGATGCCGCTATGTGCTATATATAGCGACATCTCTTTCTAACTATGCTCAAGACTAGATCAATCACTGAGAATCTTTCTATAATACGGGCCTTAACTTCCGTAGTAGGAAAACGTATTGAAAAATATTTACCTGCAGCAGCGACGCATCAGCGGAATCCAATTGCTCCTCCAACCATTTCTTTATGGAGAAGTAGTTTAGCGAGTGTCCCGTCGCAGTCAGTACGAACAGTAGCGAAGGAGCCCCCCTCCCCGCGCCCCCGCTACCGCCCGCGTACAACCGGGAGAACACCCGCGCCAGTTCTAGCACCGCCACGGCGCCGGACGCGTTCGAGTCCGCGCCAGAGGATAGCTCCTATATACAGACACACACATACGTGTGTAGATGAGCACAAACAGTAGCGAGGGCGTCCCCCCTCCCCGCGCCCCCGCTACCGCCCGCGTACAACCGGGAGAACACCCGCGCCAGTTCTAGCACCGCCACGGCGCCGGACGCGTTCGAGTCCGCGCCAGACGATAGCTCCTATATACAGACACCCACATACGTGTGTAGATGAGCACAAACAGTAGCGAGGGCGTCCCCCCTCCCCGCGGCCCCGCTACCGCCCGCGTACAACCGGGAGAACACCCGCGCCAGTTCTATCACCGCCACGGCGCCGGACGCGTTCGAGTCCGCGCCAGACGATAGCTCCTATATACAGAAATACACACACGTGTGTAGATGAGCACGAACAGTAGCGAGGACGCCCCCCTCTCCGCGCTCCCGCTACCACCCGCGTACTACCGAGAGTACACCCGCGCCAGTTCTAGCACCGCCACGACGCCGGAAGCGTTCGAGTCCGCGCCCGACGATAGCTCCTATATACACACAGACACACACGCAAACGTGTGTAGATGAGCACGAACAGTAGCGAGGGCGCCCCCCCCCTCCCCGCACCCCCGCTACCGCCCGCGTACAACCGGGAGAACACCCGCGCCAGTTCTAGCACCGCCACGGCGCCGGACGCGTTCGAGTCCGCGCCAGACGATAGCTCCTATATACAGACACACACACACGTGTGTAGATCTATGAGAACGAACAGTAGCGAGGGGTACCTCAACTACACTTAAATACATCAAAATCTGACCCGCAAGTTTCCAGAAATATAACACTGTAGATCACATATTCTACAATTCGCGAGCAACGATATTATATACCCTAGATACAACAACACGAACAAAATCGTGGCCGAAACATGTCCAAAGGTACATTGTACGATCCATTGAGCTCCGAAAGATGATCGCGTGGTCAAAAACCATATAAGGCATTATTTAAACATTGAACGTCACCTTTAATGTATATTCAAATAAAAGTAAGTCAAATACTTCTGAAAGTGCGAAATGCAAGCTTAACTAAACTTATTGCTATATGCGGAAGAATATAGACCTTATTTCTTGGACTCTACGCGCAATTCTAAATGCGCTATTAGCAATATAGCAGTCACAGACCGCGAGGAAAAGAGACGGCTATACCGCGACGTATAAACGACCATGCATTTGAATATCACAAAATTTTGTATTAAATCAGTTTATAGTAAGTATTAGAACAAAATTTGCTTCAAATGCGTTATATTAACAAACATTGATTAGATATCTGTCGGCAAAAAACGACCCTTTTCCTCCTGCAAGTGTTATTTTCGCATTTTTTCACGGAGCTCTGTGGCATCTTGACTTTGTAACGGTCCGCGCGTGACTGTAAACCAAGAAATGCTTGAGTGAAGTTCGGGCACTTCTTGATTGGGACACATTTTGAGAGCTCGTAGTGTATCTAGGGTATTTAATATCGTATCGCGAGGCCCTCAATTGAGCTTTGCATTTGTGTGATAGATCAACAAAAGTAGTAAGACAACTACTCATAGTTATTTCTTTTAATTTTTCCATGTCTTTTAAATACCTATTTAAATTATACATTTTTTATTTAACTTGGTTATATAAAAGGTTTTTGAATTCTTCGTTTATTTGTGTTGGCTGCAATGTCACTAATATATCAAAACACAAAAACAAAATATTTAAAATTAAACACGTCACGCTGTTACCGCCAGAAGAGGTGAAGTGTGTTAGGTGCGCGACTTCACACCTATCTACACCCGTCATCCGGTCAAGGGGGGGTAAACTAGGTTTAAGGTTAGTTTTAAGAACCTTCATTTATAGATTTTTTTGTGTAATTAATCATTTTAATAAAGGCTTAATTAATGATTTTTATTGTTTTGTAAACTTTATAGTTTTTTGCACTGTTCCAATAAAAAATAATTGAATTGATTTTTTAAGTTTTTCTAAAAGGCTTTCAAATGACACCAATATTGATGGCGGTACATGCGCGTGTTAAGGGTTACAACGCTTAAAAGTTATTTCGCGAAGGTGCGTTCTTTTTTGACGCCGAGTGTATGTATGTACGTGCACTCACACAAATGCAGAGCTCAGCTTAGGCCCATATACTACATTTTAGATACTTCATTATTATATTTAGAAGAGTATAGTAGGAGATACTGTTATAAATAAATCACTAAGCTCCCAAAAGTTCTTTACTGAATGTTTTGAATTTTTTACAAATCATTATATAGTCCCATGTTTTTCTACACTTAAAATTATTAAGTTAAAGAATAATATAATGCACTTACAGGAGCAACACCAGATGAGTCGTAATGCGCAGCTATCACAATAGTTTGAGACGATCCGGAGCGCCCGACCAACTTGCCGTGCAAAGTCACAGGCTTGGATTCTATCTTTTGTGGAGTGGGTGCTGATACCACTGTGGAATAAAAAAACTCTTCAGTTATTTCGCTCCACTAAAATCGAATTTCAAATCATATTTTTTTATATCACAGCTCATCACAGCATCATCATCACCAGCCCATTAATGTCCCCACTGCTATAGCACAGGCTTTCCCTATGGATTTTTAATGCCTCATCTACACGACAGATGCATCAGCAGATGGATCACCACGAGCTGACAGTTCATTCAGTCTGTGTTCATTCTCGATAGACGCAACTGATACGCACACAATATTAAAAAAATGAGATCGTAGCTGCCGCAGCTATTTATTTACTTAATACTTTTAACTTCTACTTGGGGTGTATCGCAGTAGAATTATTAAAAAGAAATGGAAAAGAAGAAGGTGGTGACACAGGTAGTTTTCTGCTCAAATACAAGTAAAGGAATTTAAATGTTTAGTTAGTACTCGTAATATTAACGTAAACGAGAGTAGCAAACGAGCAAAAAATAATAGCAAGCACGCGTCCATCCTCATTCGCAACTCCATTTCTACTGATGCGTTGAGGGACGTGTGGACAGACGTCCGCGCTGAAGCCCTTTGTTGCGTGCCACAAAAACCGACAACTAACGAATTTAATGCAGACGTATCCGTGGACGTTAAATACCTACCACTGATGCGCAAACTACCCAGTTAGACTCCATCGCAAAGTATATGATGGACGCCTCGCGACGTTACTTCGATAAAGCTGCGCATCATCCGAACCCCTTAGTAGTCAAAGCCTCTAGTCGGCCTAGGCACGTCTTAGAGTACCCCTACGACGAAATCACCCGCGCCAACGCGCGCCTCTGACTCCTCCCACACCACACAAACCACGGCCACAAACTTAGCATGTGGCAGACACAACACCCGTAGGATAACAGTGCGAAGATCCGGTCTACACACGACACGCTATACCAGGTACGTACAGGTACGTACCTGGGCGTTTTTCATCACCCCTACGACAACAGCTAACTAGAGCCGAGGTCCGAGTCTCCTCAAAAAAAAAGTAACTCCCCCGTCTGGCATTTGCAGATGCATCTGCCGACGCCATGACCCACCACACGTTTCACTCATTCACTACAAGCCGACAGCGGCGGTAACTACAGCCGTTGCCACCTTTCGGCGGCAGCCTTCGACCGTCACGGCAGAGTCAAATGCACGCGGCGACGCCGAGTCGACGGCTGACGAGTTGTAAGAAAGAAAGAAAGAAAAATGTTTTTATTGCTAATTATTGCTATCAAAAATACATATAACAAAAAGTAAAACAAAACGTACAAGTAAAATTAACAACAACAAAAAACAGCTACAGACGGTAAATGTGTATTTTATGTGATGCCAACACTGGATATGACTCAGCATACACAGCAGGAAAAATTCCTGCTGCACTGGTATTCTGCCATACCCAGAGCAGTGACATCACAGAAAAGAAAAAGGTAAAATACAGATTAAGTACATACTAAATAACAAAACAAAAAAGAAAAGAAATCAGTCTAGGACAGAACACATAGCAGTATCTGTGGCAGAGATTATATATTGTAACAGAGGTAATCTGTGGTTATTTACAAAGAAAAAAAATAAAAAATAAAGATGGATTTTGACCCTTAGTTTTAGTGACAGTGACACGTATGCAATACAAAAAAAGAAAAGATTCGGCTGTTACAAAAAGCAATATATTTATTGAAAATAAATTAAAAGGTAAGGGAAAAGATAATTAAACGGGCTGCACCTGTGTCTGTAACAAGAACAGCTTAAAATTATTTTTAAATGTGTCATGTGTTTTCAGTGAACGTATTGGGGGTGGCAAATTATTCCAACACTTCGAAGCTGAGTACTTGAATGAGCCACGAAAAGCAGCAGTTCTATGTGCGGGAGTGAGTATCATGTAAGTGGCAGCTCTTGAACGAAACATTTTATCTCTGGCCCAGTTAATCTTAGAGTAAAGATACTCCGGCACTCGAGAGTGTACTATATCAAACAAAAGTGTGGCAAAATGCAATTGTCTACGAGAGCCCATCTTCATTAAATTGGAATTATTCAAGTATGGTGTAATATGGGCCCTAGATGGAATAGAAAAACAAAAACGCGCACATGCATTTTGTACACGTTGAATGAGACGTTCAGTTCTAGCTAGCAGACATGGGCCAAAAACAACATCAGCATAGTTAAGTTTGGACAGGACCAATGTTTCACACAGACGAATTCTTAAATCCTCACTAAGAAAAGGGCGAAATTTATATAGCACCTTGAGACGGTAAAAACAATTTCGAACAGCCTCGAGAACATGTTTCTCAAAATTCATATTTGATTCAAAAATTACTCCCAGATTCCTAGCCTCTGATACCTGTTCAATGGACTGACCATTAACAAAAATTTGAGGGTCATTTGACATGATGCTAGTCACCTGTTTTTTAGAGCCAAGAATCAAATATTTAGTCTTCAATGGATTGAGAACTAAACTGTTCTCATGTGACCAGATAAGTATTTTATTTAAGTCGTCATTAATCTTATCCACAGATTCGCCAGTATCGCTAGGAAAGCAGCTCTGATACAGCTGCACGTCATCAGCATATAAGTGAAATTGACAGTGTTTCATGCTTTCAGCTATATCTGCACTATAAATGATGAACAGAATGGGACCCAAAATGGACCCTTGAGGGACACCTCTGCATATTGCACGACACTGAGAGTAGAATACAGACCCATTTCCACCTACCACCTCCACAGTTTGCATCCTATTTGTCAGGTAACTGTGAAACCATCGTACGGCTGCAGCGTCAAATCCAAAGTAAGAAAGCTTTGATAGAAGTAATGGAATATACAAAGAATCGAAGGCACGCGAGAAGTCAAGGAGCACCATCAGAGTACCCATACCCTTATCCTGCGCAGACAGAATATCATCGACTACGTTAAGGAGAGCCGTAGATGTACTGTGCTTTTTTCGAAAACCTGACTGTAGCTGGGGTAGCAATGAGTTGGATTCCAAATACTTCACTATCTGATCACACACTACCTTCTCCACAATTTTAGACAGACAAGGCAGAATACTTATTGGTCGAAGATCGCTAACACTGGATGGATTCGTGCATTTAGGAATAGGTTTAATTAGAGCTGTTTTCCAAAAGTCAGAAAATTGTGCATCACTTAAAGATTTATTTACAATGGATGTTATTGCACTAAGAGATTGTGGAAGAGTCATGACAAGCATCTGTAAAGAGATGCCATCCACTCCAACAGCATCAGAATGCAGACTCTTTATAATATTTGCAACAGTGCTTTCAGATACAGAGGAAAGAGAAAAGGTGGCATCACCGCGTCTGTGATACTCAAAGTAGGTCAGCTTAGAAATATCTACTGATGGGGTACCAGGCACATTCAAGAAGTGGTCATTAATAACATCTGGATCAAAAGGAATAGGTATATTTTTGACATTTTTTATTGAAATATTTTTTTTTAGATTATTCCATAATATTTTTGGTTTGTTTATGTTTTTATTTATATGCTGATTGAAATAACATTTTTTCTCTTGAAATATGTGTAAGTTGTCGGCAGAGACCATCGCCACAGAATATATGGTAGAGATAATTTGTCATACTTCTTTTGTGTTGTTCTTATCGCAGCAATGTCTAACTTCGTAGCCGTTCTCATTAATAATATATTGAAAACAAATAACGCAAATACGCATCCCATATTATCAATAATAACGACGCGCCTATGGTTAATGGGGGAGGGGGGCTTGTATCATATTTGACATAACAGTACTAATAATTCTCACCAATTTGATAGCCATTGGAAGAGACACTGTTGAATATTGCTTCTAAAGCAGTGCCAGATTTGTCATCAGTGATAAAACTGTGTTGCAGGTCTTGCAATATGGTCTCATACTCCGGTGTCCACTGAGCAAAGTACACTGGTGCGCTGACTTCTTGCTGGATCATGGCCATTTCAAGTAATTGAATGTGCTATAAAAAAAAACAATTGTCTTAGAGCTAATCTGATAGTATTTTAGTTTTCATTTTATTTTAGGTGGATTTAGTTGTTATCATTATTATTACCATGAGCCCATTAATGTCCCCACTGCAGGGACACAGGCCTTCCATATAGATGGATTAGGGAGACTGAGCCGTGACCCTTTACGTGGGCCCGTGCGGATTGGTGGGTGCTAACGACTGCAGATACAGCCGGGACCAACGGCTTGATGTGGCTTCCAAAGTACGGAGGAGCTGGAAAAAATGAGTTTTTGGTCACCCATCCAATGAAAGACCATTGCAAAAGTTGCTTAACTTTCACGATCGCAGGCCAAATGCGCTAACCATCTGCGCCATCAAGCTCCTCAATGGAATTAGTATTAAAATTAAAAGATCTCTACCTCAGATGGCGATTTTATATTTTTTTCTGTTTTAAATAGAACTCAATTGATCAATTATGACTGACAACATAACGAGGATTATACTGGAGCAGCAAAAATCTATTATCTATCTATCAATAAATACATTATAACATTTATATTTTAAGCATTTAACTGCTATATTTAAAAATCTAGTTTTTTTTTACTATAAAAAATTTCACTTAATCCAGTTAGGCTATCCAGGCAAACTAAATTTTCTTTAGATTAATAAATACCTCTTTCTCTTCCGAAGAGAGCACAGTATCATTCTTGGGCAGCACAAGCAGGAGAGCTCCTGCCTTGCTGCGAATCTCCATGAACTGATCAATTGTTATGTCTTGAACACGAGCCACCACACAATGGCGGGAGGTGCTCCATGAGGTGAGGGAACGCCCTTCCAAATTGAAACTTGCACTGCGGCAACCTGTAATGTGATTAAAATTAGAGTAGAGAAATTATAGCTCCCTCCTTAGCATCTTGTTGACCACCGTTCTTTTACACAGTACTGGGTCAGCGTGAGGTGGTTGTCTTTGTCTAGTAATGCATCTTTAAGAAGGAAAAGCATATCCAGTGTCTCATAAGAAAAAACTTGTGCAGTGTCTACTAAAACAATCAAATTAAATGAAGGGTACATACAGGAAAGAAGGGGGCACATTAGCATCCTTTATATTTTGAGTAATAACATTTTTTTTAACTTAAAATCTCAATTTAGATACTTAACAGTTTAACTAGGATTTGATCTTCACTTAAACATTAACAGAAAATTGTATATTTTACACAATAGATTTTTGTTTTTTAATATTGCGTCAGTAAACAAAGTGAATAGTTCATTAAAAAAAGTTAAATTTGCTCCTTCTTTTCCCACGCCCTTCAAATTATTCTGTAGTGATGTGTTTCTGCAATTGAAACTGCTGCAGTTCTTCAGAATAGAGAAGAACACTTCAGGATGGGATAGTTTGTACTTCTTCTTATGTGATCTTTACACATAATCAGGTAGGACAGTTTTATGTCAGGGCATTCAAAACCGTCTTTTATACTTCATTTTACTGTTATTAATTTTTATGGTCTGCAAAACAAGGTCAATAACAACAAAAATATTTACAATGTTCTGAATTTTCATCAATGAATAAATAAAACAAGTTTCAACGAGTTAGATGCACTGATTTTATTTATTTATTGACGTTTCGCATCCTTTGCAGGAATACATTGTCTGAATAAAAAATTAAATCAGTGCATCTAACCCATCAAAATTGTTTTTTTAATTAATGAGTGATGTGCGTGAAAACCTAAGAAACAAATATCAATGAATAATTTACTTAGAAAGAATCTGAATAAAATTTTGCAATTTAAATATATGCATATTTATGTGTTTCGACTGTTCAATAATTCATAAAGTTACAGAACTAAGCTCTATTACCTATAGGCAAATGTTTTACAAATATTGAAATTAAAATTTCTTATGATCAATATTGTTTACTACAGGCTGATTTTTTTAGGGTTCCGTACCTCAAAAGGAAAAACGGAACCCTTATAGGATCACTTTGTTGTCCGTCTGTCCGTCCGTCCGTCTGTCAAGACCCTTTTTCTCAGGAACGCGTGGAGGTATGAAGCTGAAATTTATATCAATTACTCAGGTCTACTGTCCCTTAAAGCTGTGAAAAAATCAAACTTCTAAGCCAACGCAATCAAAAGATACAGCCGTTTATGCCGCAAATTTTCGACACTTACAAGGGAATCAAAACCTACAGGGTGCTTCCCGTGAACTCAGAATCTTGAAATTTGGTACCAAGCAACGTCTTATAGCATAGATAAAGGAAAAATTACGAAAACCATAAATTTTTAGTTACATCACATAATATATTTTTTTTTAATAATTTTAACCTTACTACCCATTTCCTCACAAACGCGTAGAGGTATTAAATTGAAATTCATACCAAATACTCAGGTCTATAATACCTTTAAGCTGTAACAAAATCAAACTTCTATGTCAACGCAATCAAAAGAAACAGCAATTTAAGCTGCATATTTTGAAACTCGCAAGTACTCGCAAGGGAATCAAAACCTAAAGGGTACTTCCAGTCGACCTAGAATCTTGAAATTTGGCATGAAGCAACGTTTTATAGCACACATAAAGGAAAAATTCCGAAAACCTTAAATTTTTAGTTACATTACAAAATATATATTTTTTAATAAATATAAACTTATTACTTTACGTAGAGCTATCAAGTTGAAATTCATATCAAATACTTAGATCTAATTGCCTTTAACCCGTGAAAAAAAAAACTAAGTCAACGCAAAAACGCAAAACGCAAAAGTACAACCATTGATACCGCATATTTTGAAACTCGCAACTACACGCAAGGGAATTAAAACCTAAAGACCACTTCCCGTTGACATAGAATCTCGAAATTTGGTAAGAAGCAATAGCTTACAGCACAGGTAACAGAAAAAATCCGAAAAGCTTAAAATTTTAAGTAGTTATACCACCAAAAAAATTGTGATTGTAAACATAATTGTAGTTACAGCGATGACCGCGAGTTATTATACTATGTATGGGGAGGGCAACATTTTTCAAACGGCAAAGACGACCTCACTCATCGTCATTCAATCCCGATGTTTTGGTGAATGTAGCTGTATAATCTAAATGCGTCCTAACTGCTTAAAGTGTTAATGTTGCAATAGAATGTATAAATACAACAATATTCGGCAGCAACCTCAATATGTACACTTCATCTTCTCGTCTGATTGTTGTGGGAGACTTCAATATAGATTTTAGAATGAATCCCCAAAATGGAATTTCCACATATTTTTCATCCATAAACATGTTTCCGTTAATAAACAGTAGCACTACACGAAGTTGTACAACTATTGATAACGTTTTTTCGAACTTCAATGTTCAATGTGGTACTATTCATAACTTTTTCAGTCACCATTTACAGGTCTGGTTCAAATTTAATACTTAATTAATATTTTTGAACCAGATTTCTAAATAGTGACTAAAAAACTTAGTAAATAAATAACTTTAATAAAAGAACTTTCGCAAGTCTGCTGCAAGGCTAGTATAAGTGTTTCAGTTATATTATAGATAAATGATATGTGTTAATATAAAATAAAGGATTACTTAAACGATAAAGAGATCTTTGTCTTAAATTTATGCTCCTCCATCTTTCCCCATTGTAATGTTATGAATTTCATTTTGCAATAAAAATACCATAGTTATGACTTGATTGTCGTAATGAACGAACTTTGTAAACCTTGCAGGTTTGTACGGAACCCTCGGTGCGCGAGTCCGACTCGCACTTGGCCGGTTTTTTTAAGTTGATCCAGCTCAGTTATTGTAGCTCAGTATCTTATTTGAACAAAGATAAGGTCTCCTAAAGATTGAAGGCTTGTTATCTAAGACATTGAAGGCAAAGCCAAACAATGAATTAGATAAATATGGAGATTGAAAAACATTATTTTCGAGTTAAATTGGCATACTCATAATTATTTGTGACTTGATTTGAAAATTATGACAATAATTTTATTGTTAAATAATTTGATTTGATAATATGTTTTCCTAATATCTTCAATAATTTTTGTTCATAATCTTAGTTATATTCTGAGCTCAAGCTTAAATGAAATCCATATATTGCAAAGATGATTAAGTCAAATCTTTCAATTATTATTTCTTAATGTATTGGCATTTACTTTCATGTTTTCTCTAAAATTAGAGTACATAAGTAGTGTGGTTTAAGAACCCTTAAACTAAAAATACATGTTTTTAATGTTACAGATTTGGTTTTAAGTTTCATGGTCGTTACGTCAATAGTTGCTAGGTACTTGGATGGTAGAAAACTGAAAAATTATTTATATAGGTTTCTCTATTTGTGAGAAAAGTAGAGAGTAAGATTAAATGTCATTCATTGAATTTACATTTGTCAATTTCATACTTTTGAGTCTTATTGCTGATGATTTTATATATTGGAGAAATTGGATACTGTATGAGTGTACAGCAGGTTGGTCATATTTGTGAGAAATTAACGGTACAACTGTTTTGAGGATAAACATGTAAATCATTTAGCCATCAAATCATAACCTCAACCAAAATATCATTGATTTTTTGTATCATCTATGAAACCATAACTAATATTATTCACTCACCATGAGGTACTGTATGAAGGTCGTATTGCTGCATTCTATACACAGAAAACTCATGAGAAGCAGCTACTGGGTTCACAGGGGACATAATGATAAAAATAGGCAGAGCAACTAATAGGTAATAAGGCAAATAACCCTTAAAAATCTCGGCGAAACCATCGGCCTCGTACAGCCACATTTTGGAGACTAGTTATTATGCCTGTTGATAATAAAATTAAACCAAAAACCAATTTTTAGCACATAATCCAATTAGAAACCCTACGTGTGATAATCAGGGGTCGGAAAGTCGCAAAGAACTTGCTTAGGAGGTTTTTGCTAGCGACATCTATTATGTCTTCACCTGAAGTTTCATGCCAAATGCCGTTCCTCAATGTCAAATAACTGTCAGTGTTGGGCTGCGTTCCAAGCCGACGCCCTGAGTGCAACTTTTCACTATAACGTTTAAATTTTCATATAAAAATAAGTAATACGGTATGGAACGCACCATTGTGTCAGTTGGTTGATTGCAAAATTCAAATGGCTGCCATTTGATGTTTTGTTGTAGATTTGCCTAACGCGATTTACAAATCCTCATCAGATGCAAGTACGTTGAGTCGAGTATCTTTCTCCTCCGTCTTCTTCTCGTTGTGTTCACAATTACCTGGTCTTCACTTTCGTTGAGTTGAGTTTGAACTTGGTTCCTCGCTTAAGGATCGTCGCAGGCGCCGGTCTTTTGTGATTTCGCGAAACGGACGCTATTTATGTTTAGTGTAGTTTATTTGCAAGTGACTCCATTAGTTTAGTGTATTCTCATCATCATGCCATCCTCCAGGCGTTGTGTATTCGGATGTGTTACCAAAGGTGAGTAATTTCTAAGTTTTGTTTCACCGGCAAACGTTGTTCGAGTTTAGCTCATCCTGCGCAAGCACTGATTCACTTAAACTAAAATTTGACGCGACATTAGATTCACTTACAAAATGGCTAGAGTGTAACAATCTACAGTTTAATCTTGACAAAATTAAAATTAATAGAATATAGACCTCAATCAAAAGACCCCATTAAACATCAACTACCAATACAAATCCAAAAAATTAGAAGCTTTAAACTCTGCAACCATGCTAGGAATAGAGCTAGACGCATTTCTCTCGATTTGACTCGATTGCCCTCTCTTGTATATGCACTGAGACAGTTGAAACGCAATACTAATAAAATACCTTTCTGCATATCATGCAATGGTCCATTTCAGGCTGACCTATGGTATTATATTGTGGGGTAACTGCACTTAAATTCACGATGTTTTAGTCCTCCAGAAAAAGTTTATAAGAATACTTGCAAACATAAAACAAGCAGACTCCTGCAAATCATATTTCAAAAACTTTTAAATACTTACCATAACATGCCTATACGTCGTTGAAGCCTGCGTGTTTGTGAAAAACATATTGAATTATACACCCCTGTTAAATTAGCAAGACGTAATGATCGCTACCAGAATACACTGAATCTCCTGTTTTCAAACTTGAAATTAGTATCAAATTTTCCACATAAAGGAAACATCTAAAGGAATAATATCTCATTAATAAATCCTATTATACTATATTAGAGGTTTTTCAAGATAAACATATCTGATATAATTTTTATGAAGTAATAATAAAATTTATTAAATTTCATAACTTATATACCTCATATATTATATGAAAAATTCTGAGTGTGAAAATTGTTTATTAATATCTGTAGTTTTTAAATTATATATGTATATAATGTAAGAACTATTTAATACATAGTTTTTTTTATAATATATTTGATAGTTTATTTAAATAATAATTTAAGTATAATTGCAACACCCTGGCAGGGTGTCACATATTTGTGCAACTTATGATATTATTGTTTTTGTACTATCTGTGGCATGCAATAAAGAATAAATAATAAACAATGTATTTTGCCTTCACATTCTGAAAGAATCTCTTGTGATTGTACCTACATGAAATATATATATTCTTGCTGATATTGCTCACTTTAACTGAAAATTTTTATTTTTCTCTTTTAGGTCTCACTGTTCACAGTTTTCCAAACCCAGCTAAGTTTCCAGAGCAGTTTAGATCTTGGGTTGAGATAGGTGGTGAGAGGCTGAGAAACCTGTCAACTGAACAGATATACCCAAGAATGAAAGTATGTGATAAACACTTCATTGAAGGCCATCGAAATCGTAACAATCGTTTGAGTGCTTTGGCTGTACCAACTTTGTACCTTCCCAGTGAGTATAGTAGGTACTTTGAATATGTAAAAAAGTATCTTATTTTCATATATACACTTAAAAATTATAATAATAAAATACTAGCACCTCTTCAGAAATTGTTAACAAAATTAAATCTGGAAAGATGTGATGATGGCTTAAATTCAAATTCAAATGTTTTGTGTCATCAACACACAAAATACTTTATAATAGCAATATTTTTTGTCTTTTTCAGAGTAGATCATTAAGAGATTAATTCTTATAGGATAACAAAAATCAAAAATAGTATTGTTTGCTAGTACTTGTTTTATATTCATTAAAGTATTATAAAAATTTCAGAACTGGATCTGGAAACAACTGTTCCTGTAGAAAGGGAGAGAATATTGACAAATATTACAAACTTTCCAATTGTAATGCCTATTCCACCATCAGGTCAAGGTATGTAATTTTTAAGAACATTATGTACACACATATTGTACAGGACAGCTACCGACCTAGTTTTTTTTAAACATTTATTATGTATAGTTTTTAATAGTTTAAAAGGATCTTTTCTAGCTTCAGTGCACTTGCTGGTTTTTCGATTCTTGCAGTTAAAAAAGCTCAACAGCTTTTCAAAGTTTTTTTTTCTAGAAAAATTCACCAGACAAGATTTGAACTTGCACCTGCTGCTATTTTTAGGCTAGGCAAGGCAGCCAACTGCTTTTTTGTAAGGTTTGATCAAAATTTCATTAATTTTTAGGGTCATCTGCAAAAGAGAATATTATCCCAGTTGAACCATCTGTGAAAAATGATATCACTGACCAAATTATGTTATCTGCTGCACCGCACCAGCCAGGTATTGTTTATATTATTATAAATAGGTATATTTTATTTATTGCATGTCTCATTACAATATATTTGGGATAGTACATTCACAACGATGTTAAGTAATCATTAGCATTATCAAGCCTGTGCAGCACCATTCACAGCACAGTCCGACAAAGCCAAACTACAGAGGGCTTATCACTAACAGTATATTATTTAAATAATCTCCAAATTAACAAAATATAGGTCATCATCATCATCAGCCTATTAATGTCCCCTCTCCTGGGGCACAGGCCTTCCCTATGGATGGAATAGGGAGATTGGGCCATGACCCACCACGCGGGCCCAGTGCGGATTGGCGGGTGCTAACGACTGCAGACGCAGCCGGCTCAACGTTTCTTCCGAAGCACGGAGGAATTCGAGATAGAAGATTTTTGGTCACCCATCCAATGACCGACCACTGCGAAAGTTGCTTAACTTTAACGATCGCAGCCGAACGCGCTAACCACATGCGCCATCGAGCTCCTCATTACTTAATGTAAATTATTTATATCCAACATAAGACTAAAAATAATTATATTTAAACAATAAAAAGGTCAAATTTATTAAATTAAATGTCATTATATAATTCTTTCAAATATAGCATTAATTTGTGAATTAATTATTTTTATAATACTTCAAGTACTTATTTACTTTCATTACTTCTCTTAAATGTACTCCTAATAGTATTAACAAATTTTTCTAATATAATTTCAGATACTGTTACCAGCTTTCAGAAAGACCATGATTATTGCACTCATAGCATTGAGAATCTGAAAATAACTAAACAAGTTGCAATAAATCTGTCTGAGGAAGTGCAAGGTAAAGTAATTTTTGCTCAGTATGAAATGAAAATTTAAACATTCTTTAGTATTTTTTTTTTAATTTTGTTTTGAGTAACATCATCATCCATCCATCCTAAGAATAGTCGTTGCGAAATTTGTTTAATTTCTATCATTAGTCCCGTTATGCATAACATCTTGGATAAAATACTAAATAATTTAAGCTAAAAATACTAATTAAGTGTATATGTACTTTTGAAAAAATATTCAAATAATAAGAACAAAATAGTCCCGAAACAGTTGAGAGATAATCCCAACCTCTTACAGGAACCAAAATGGAGATTTAAATGATTTAATACCAACTTGGGACGGTTCAGTTTTTAGACCTACGATTTTCCATCGGCTCCTTTAAAAATATTTTTAGGATTCCTCATTATTGTACTATGTATTTAATAGAGGCACTGGATTGCGATGAGAGAAACTTTAGTAGGTCTTCTACCAAAACAACTAAAGATCAGAATAATTATATTATCTGATGGGGTAGTACTCAGAGACGTCAATTAAATTTAACACTTCATTTACTAAAATTCTATGGACTGTATAATATTGTCTGAAAATAAATATCATTATTATTATTACGTGACCAAATGGTCACGTGTTGTTTTTTATTATCGTTACCATATAGAAAGTGATAGCATCAACTTTAATCTACTAAAATGTTCTAAACTGAAGGATAAGCAAAAGTGAACTTTTTGTAGCGAAAATAAAAGTAGACAAATCTAGCAGTTAAATGCTTAAAAATATAATAACCTAGAAGGGATAATTTGTATAGTTGCCAGAACGTGGTACTGGTGTAAATATAAATAAATAGGGAAAATATGCAAACAACAATGTGACTAAAATAAATTCCATTATTTGATATTTCAGGGCCACATGCAACACAGAATGTTGGTCTAGAATTTGGAGAGGAATCCGAAAAACATGTTATGATGAACCAAGCTAATTTCCCCGCTACTTCACAACAGTCAGGTATTGTGTGCTATTCATATACCTTTTTAATGAGGTGCCTGCCTTTGCTGCGCGGAAAAATTAGTTTCCCATATAAACTTCCACACTTTTCACCCACTTAAAGGGGTAAAATCACTTCTGAAATAAAAACTAACCAAATCCAAATTTTGATCTAAATCGCTTCAGCTGTTTAAGCGCGAAGAGGTAACAGATAAACACACACTTTCGCATTTATATTATAACTAGCTTCCGCCCGCGACATCGGCCGCGTTATAGTTAGTTTTTTGAAAATCCCACAGAAAGCTAAGACTTTTCTGGGATAAGAAAAGTCCAGTCAAAATCAAGGTATATGTATGTATGCCGAATTTCACCCAATTCCATTCTGCTGTTTTTGCGTGATTGGCAAATATATCTATACATATAATAAAAG